ATGATTGCAATTGCGACGTCCTTGCCCCGTACCTCTAAGGCGCGACGCAAACTTACTGGAGTTATCATCGACACTCTGTGGAAGAGCTTGCAGCACCCTCCTTTGAGTTATTTGGGGAACAAATTCCAGTACCGAACCCCAGACGGAAGCTACAACGTAAGCTGGCTATTCTATTAAATTTCAATGAAGTGTATTCACTAATAGTCATAATACAGAACCCCCTTCAACCTGACCTAGGTAAGGCTGGAAGCCCATATGCGAGAACAGTCCCCAAGATGAAGCACCTGCATGGTGTTCCTCCGGACCCTGGTCTTCTGTTTGACTGTAAGCCATTTCTCCTACCATCGCATATTTTCTATAGCCACGCTGACATCCTTAAGTGCTCATGGCTCGTAGCGATGATACCTTCAAGGAGAACCCAGCTGGTATCTCATCCGTTCTATTCTACCATGCAACTATCATTATTCATGGTAAGAAGCAAGGACAATAGCCTACGTTTGCCATTTATTAACATTTATAGATTGCTTCCGGACCAATCGTGTTGATCCTAATATCTCGGACACCTCTTCTTACCTTGACCTCGCCCCCTTGTACGGTTCAAATCTCAAGGACCAGCTGAGCATCCGGACCATGCAGCGTGGTCTACTCAAACCGGATTCTTTTGCTGAGAAACGTCTCCTTGGACAACCCCCTGGTGTCAATGTGATGCTTGTCATGTACAGCCGTTTCCACAACTATGTTGCAGATGTTCTCCTGAGCATCAATGAAAATGGTCGCTTCACTTTGAGACCTACCAAGACGGAAGAGGACAAAAAGGCAGCTCTCGCACAGCAAGATGAGGACATCTTCCAGACCGCTAGGCTGTACGAATATTCAAGTTCCTCAAACACAAAGCTTCTAGTACTGACCATGGATCTAGTATTACCAATGGTCTCTATATTAACATCTCTTTGCACGACTACCTTCGTGGCCTCACCAACACCCACCACTCTGCCAGTGACTGGACCCTTGATCCCCGTATTGAGGTGGGCCGAATGTTTGACCCCGAGGGTGTCCCGCGCGGTATCGGCAACCAGGTCTCTGCTGAATTCAACCTGCTGTACCGATTCCACTCTGTCATCTCTCAACGCGATGAGAAGTGGACAAACCAGTTCATGCAGAAGATCTTCCCGGACAAGCCACTCGATCAACTCACCCCTCAAGACTTTGTTCAGGGTCTTTTGCGCTTTGAGCAGGGCATTGCCGAAGATCCAGCAGAGCGCACCTTTGATGGGTTGAAGCGTGGTGCGAATGGCAAATTCGACGACGCTGAGCTTGTGAATATCATGAAGGAGAGTATGGAAGACCCTGCAGGTCTATTCGATGCCCGAATGGTTCCCAAGGCCCTCCGAATGATTGAAATTAGTGGCATTATGACTGCCAGAAAATGGAACCTCGCGTCTTTGAATGAGATGCGTAGCTTCTTTGGACTCAAGCGACACGACACGTTTGAGGATATCAACCCCGACCCTCAAATTGCTGACCTCATGCGCAAGCTCTACGATCACCCTGACATGGTAGAAATGTATCCTGGTCTGTTCCTTGAGGATGGAAAGCCTCGCATGGATCCTGGTAAGCAAATTTCATTCTTAGCCGTTGATATCTGTTAATTAATGTGTTAGGTTGCGGCGGTTGCCCTCCATACACTGTTGGTCGCGCTGTTTTCAGTGATGCTGTCAGTTTGGTGCGATCTGACCGATTCCTCACTGTGGTAAGTGACCGTGAACCAAACACAAGACACCTAGAGAAAAACAAAAAGTGCTAAAAATGGCTATAGGACTACACGGCTTCGAATCTCACAGCATGGGGATACCAAGAAGTCCAGCAGGATTATGATATGTAAGTACTATTGCTTCCTATCTGTACCGACAAAGTTTATTGACGTTTCCTTCACCCACAGCCTTGGAGGATCGATGTTTTGGAAGCTATTCCAGCGCGCATTCCCCGGCTGGTTCCCTTACAACTCGTTGCACTGCACACAGCCAATGTTCACTCGCAAGATGAACGAGGAGATTGCACGTGAAATCGGAACTATTGACCAGTACACTTTGCAGGATCCATCTCCTCCACCTACTCCCAACCTAGTCGCCAAGTACTCCGCCGTGACTAAGATTTTGAGTGACCAGAAGAACTTCCGCGTCATCTGGGCCAAGAACCTCAATGACATGACCCCTGGCAAGAAGTACGATTCTTACATGTTGGGTGGTGACGCTGCTGCGAATACAGCCCAGAGGAACTTGGTCAAGGAAATAATGTTCAGCCCGCCTGAGTTTATGCAGCTGCTTTCTCAAACGTCGATGCATGTTGCCAACGAGCTCTTGGATGATGAGACTCTCAGCCTCGGCAAAGATTTGAACCAGCTTGATATTATCCGGGAGTAAGTCATCCTCTATTGCCAGCATATTTTGAAAACGTGATTACTGATACACCTGTAGCATCGCTATCCCTCTGAATACCCGCATCATGGCCGATCTTTTCTGCTTGGACCTGAAGACCGATGAAAACAAGGGTGGGAGTCTCAACTCTACAGAGCTTTATACGCACCTTATGAGTGTTCGTACTTTCGGCTTCAACAACTTCGATCCTGCTCTAGCATTGCGGCGCAGAAAGGAAGCCCATGAAGGGGCTAAGGTTCTGACTGAGACCACCCTCAATGTTATCTCGGGTGGATCAAACCCAGTTAGCGACGCCCAAGGAATCGTATCCAAAGCCACTGGAGCCATTACCGGGGCTGTGACTAGCATCACGTCAAAGATCCCCTTCGTTGGCGGTCTTTTCGGCAAGGCTAGCAAGAAAGCTGAAGCAAAGACTGGATCTTTGAGGTGGTATGGCCAGAACGTCGTCAAGGAACTTATTTCAGCTGGAAAGTCTCCAGAAGAAGCTGCCGATATTTGCTGGTTGACTGCGGTCGCCGGCGTTGGTGCGCCAATTGGAATGGTTTGTGTCCACTTTACTCCCCTTTGGTTCTATCTTTGCATGGAAGCAAGCTGGTTCTAACATGATAACCTCCTCTAGTTTGCCAACGTCTTGAACTATTTCCTACAAGAGGAGAACTCGCAGCACTGGGAGGCAATCCAAAACTTGTCTTCAAGCTCGGATCCCGAATCTGCTGACAAGGAGCTACGGAAATATGTTCTTGAGGCCCAGAGACTTACTAGTAATCAGCGGGACATCCGTGCCTGTGTCAGTGAGACCACAGTTGATGGAAAGACCTACAGGCCTGGTGATCTGGTTATTGCTCTATTTGTAAGGATACCAAGTCCGGTGGATGGATAACTGAAACAATTTCTGACAATTATACTCTGACTAGGGCCCCGCATGCAAGGACCCTGATGCCATCCCTGAGCCAGGTCAGTTCAAGCTTGACCGACCAGAGAGCGCCTACATCCACTTAGGCCACGGGCCTCATGCTTGTCTCGGGCGTGAAATTGCCATTACCTTCATCAGTTCCCTTGTCAAGGTCTGTGGCAGTCTGAAGCACCTTCGCCCCGCTCCTGGTAAAATGGGAGCTCTGAAGCAGATTCAAATCAACGGCGACAGAGCGTATCTCAACGACAGCTGGTCATACCTGACCACCGACCCAACGAGTAAGTTTTGCTCCTATGCGACTACCCAGATTAGAACCGATACTAACATGTTCTTACAGCCTGGAAGGTTCACTTCGATGGCGTGGGCAAGGGGGTATTCCACGCTCCCAAGCTTGCTGCTGCTGTTGCCAGTGACATCAACTACAATGCTCTGAAGCAGGAGCAGGACGAGTTGATCAAAAACAAACTCTCCAATGTCATGCCCAACGGCCCTTATGCGTCGCAGTACGCCAATGGCACCGCTGACCCCACCAAGCCAGCGACTTACAGCGAAGCCGCTGGTGCAAGGGTCCCTGTGCCCAATGGGGGTCCCCCAATCAAAGCCGTTGATCAGCAAAGCAACATGCCGGGCTATCAGGGTCTGCCGGATGGTCAACCGCAACAGCTACAGCAACCTTTCACTAAAGATCATCCTGGCTTTTTGAGTGGAGCCATCACTGACTTTGGTGAAATTAGCCAGAAGACAGTAGGCACTGCTCACGACCTCGCCCACGGCTTCGTCAACAGCGTACCCGGAGGAAGGTCGGCTTCACAGTTGACTCACGGAATTGCCCAAGGCTTCATGCCTAGCTCCGATGGTACTTCTGGGGGTGCAGGCGAGCAGAGATAATAGTCGAGCTTGAATGCCCTGGGAGGGGATATCGCACCTCTCAGGTGGATGGGATAGTTGAAAGCGATAAGAACCGATCAAATTGAAAAGTTTTGAGAGGGGATATCGCACCTCTCAGGTGGATGGAATAGTTGAAAGCGATGAGAACCGATCAAATTGAAAAGTTTTTGAGTTTCCGGATGTCTGCGATGTGATGATAGGATATTTAATCCAAGTATCTAATTAGTTAGTATGTAATGAATTCTACTAGTAACTTTGCTCTGGATTAGAAGTTCTTGCTCTTGAAAATGAAAATGAGGCTCCTGGTGACCAAGTTTTCGAAAGGGGGATAGCCGACTGTAGTGCAAAAGGAAAGAGTGAGAGAGAAAGAACAGAGGCAAGGGCACGAGGGCACGAGGGATACCTGATATCTTGATCTGAACTTATCTCATTCAAGCAAGTTATTTTTGTGATTTTGTTGTAGTTCGGAGACCTCGAGATATACTGGCAAGAAACACCCTACCATAGAAATATGACAATGTTGTGCTCTGGAGTCTGGTGGCGGTTATTATCCAATGAACAAATAATCCTGACTGCAAACCACACGACAAAGTTGAAATTCCGAGTCCGTATTCAAGTACGTAGTATGTAGTACTAGTACTAGAGTTTACTCCCAAAACGGAAGTGCCCACAGACCAACGCCAATGCCAACTCCGCACTCCAACTCCACCTCCACCACCTCCAACTCCCTCACCAACCCTCCAAGGTTAAATCAACCTTGCACAATGGACCCAGACGCAAGCATTCCGGACTCCGAACCCTCCACCTTCAACTACATCCTTTCCTTCCTCCTAGTCGGCGTTGCATGGGGCTTCACAACCCCTTTTATCCGGCGCGCAGCGGCAGACTTCAACGCGCGACAAGAGAAGCAACAGCAACAGCAGCAGCAGTCCGACACAGATTCCCGCGGACGATCGCAGACTCAATCGTCGAGTCCGGACTTTCGCGACGAGCCAGATAAGGAGCAGGAGCTTCTTCGGAATGATGCGGATGTTGAGGGTGAGGGGGTGAGAAGACGGAGTACTAGTCAGCAGCGACAAGAGCAGCAGGCTGCTACTACCAGTGCAGGCGCGGCTGTAGCCACTGCCGCAGGTACTGGACAAGAGGGCGATGTGGATAACACGCCAGCGCCAGCCTGGATGCAATCGAAATCGCAATCACAGCAGAAGTCCTGGCTGCGCACGAAGATTGTGTCTATATTCTGGACCGTTGTGAATATGCTCCGTACGCCGGCGTACTCGATTCCACTGATCATCAATTTGACGGGGAGTATTTGGTTTTTCTTGCTTGTTGGAAAGCACGGTATGTCTATTTCTATGTCTATTTCCCGGTCCTCTTGGCCTGTACCCTCCGCGGGTCTTGTCTTGTCTACTCATTTAATTCGGTTTTATTGGGCTTTTGCTGGATAATTGCTGATTGCGAGCTTTTATAGAACTCTCTTTGACAGTGCCGCTGGCGAACTCGAGTGCGTTTTTGTTCACGGTTTTGGGCGAGTGGTATGTTGATCGGAAGGTTATTGCGAAAGAGACCTGGTTGGGACTGGTGTTGGTGTTGGGCGGTATTGCGTTGTGTGTGCATTCGAAGAATCAGACTGGTTGATTGATATGTTTGATATGTTTGATCTGGGAATTATAGATTTACTTACTATTGCACACAATCTGGATCTATGATCAGAAGTTTGAACTCTTGCCACTAAATGGCGTTTACTGTCTTAGACTACTGTACAGTATGGGCGATGTGTAGAGAAGTATGACTTTGATAAGTTATCAAGATTGTGATCATTGGCGAGTGCATTTCATCTATACCATCACCATCAACCCGCCTCGTAGAAATTCACAAGAATCATATCCACAACTCATGCTATCTACACATACAAAAACATCTCATCCGTCAAGCGGTCTGTCATCCAACACATAAATGCATCCGTGGCTTCGGAAGCAGGCGGGCATAAACAAAAAAAAAGAAAAGAAATAAGATAAGAAAAAAAAGAGACAGAGAAACAAGAGACGAACGGGGGTAAAAAAAAACACCAACGTATACCATGCATCAGATCGTGCAAAGAAATACAGTTGCCGAAGCGGGATAAAAGCGCCAAGTCATCACACACATAACACAATTTTCCGGCTCCAAAGGTAAACCAAACCTAGTTACCCATACCAGACCGGACCGGACCCGCCGTGGTATCAACGCAGCGTGGGGATATATTGAAAACACAAGATCGAAATAAGGCTGAGCGTACACAATCATGCCCAAACATACAGAACCTTAGACACCTCGGAACTGTGAGAAATGAAGTTAGCTGAATGATGCATTTAGGAAGGTCAATGGAGAAAAGGAAGGGGGGAGGAACTCACCATCCGAACAACCAAGTACCACATTGCACCGAAGAACTTGAACATCGATAGACCAGCGACAGACCACAGCACAACCTCCATGTAGATAAGGGATTTCTTGGTTTGAGTAGAATCCTCGCTGTCACTGCTGCTGCTCTTATCATCAAACGTTTCCAGACCAGCTGCGCTCAGCACAACGGCACCCAGGGCAAAGTTGCAGAATACCCATGCCAACACGACGGCACTTCGGAATCCCTTGTAGTAGTCGGCCTGCTTCTCTTCTTCGGAGATAACCTGTACTTCCTTGGGTGGCTTCATGGAAAACTTCACCAATTCGGCTTCGTACTGCGCGTTGAGATCGCCGTCATCCTGGGGAATGTTGACATCAACCTTGCCGCCAGGCTTCAAGTTCGCGGATGGGAGTTTCTCAGCCTTGTCGTCACCCTTGGTACCCCAGGTAATGTCATGGGTGTTACAGAAGGCGTAGATGTTGAGGACGTTGATGTAGGTCGGGGTCAGCAGGATATATTGGATGAACGAGGTGAACATGTGCCAGGGGTCCATGAAAATGAAGGACGCCACAAACCACATCACATAGGTCGAACCAAGTGACACGATGATAGAGAAGAAAGTCTTGTTGGTGAACAAATCGGTGACCGAGAACCCGTCAGACTGTACCTCAGTCTGAATGGACTTCACAGTAACGAAAATGGCCGCGAATGACAGGTATATCATGATGAAGATCCAGAAATAGACCATGGTCATATAAAACTTGTTAGATCCACCAGGTCGGTTGCCGAGAGCAAGCACGAAACAAGTGACCAGAGTTGCAAGATAAAGCCATTCGAAAACGATACCCAATACCTTTCCAGCGGTGCCCAGAAGTTCATCGCTACCAAGGTAGGTTGTCAGGATGTGGAAGACAAGGAAGAAATTACCGATACCGAACCACGCGAAGATCATCGCGATCGTTTGGTAGATAAACTCGATCATGAGAGCGAACTTGCGCAGGAAACTATGGTCACTGCGGAAGATCTGGTAGAAGTGGGTAATGGCGTAGACGGCAGCGAAGAAACTACCGTTCAGCCAACGACGACGCTGCAGAATGAACTCGGCCATGCGGTCGGGAACATCGGTTTCACCAGTGGATGACTTGACGTATTGCAGCAACCAGCGGCACTTTCGCTTCGAGACAATCTCGAAACAAAGGATACGATCCTCGGCCAGATACATGTTGGCTGTGAAGATACCGGCATTTGCACCATGCATTTTCTCACCCATGAAGTATCGCTCGAGAGGACCTTGGCCGTTCTTGTCGTTTTGTAAAGCAACGTAACGATAGGCTGAGAAGGCACCAGGCAAGACGGTGATGAAACCGAAGGCAGACTCCAAGGGTTTATCCAAAATGTTGCTAAGCTTGTACTCGAAGTTTTGACCAGCGACTAGAGGATTCAGGAGCTTTTTACCGTGTGACAACATGACCTTGATCTCTCCGCAGGCACCACCGCACATAGGCTCAATGTCGAAGGCCTTCCACAAGTGGTAGATCGAATCCTTACCAGGCTTAGTACCGGCATCGAGGAGAACACAAATATTGGGATCTAAGACTCGACCAAATGCTTGGAAGAACCACCGATGGGAGTTAATCTTCTTCTGGTTCTTTTCCTTCAGACAGAAGATCAACTGGACAGGTGGGCCCGAGCGTGGCTTCATATGAACTTGTGTACCCTTAACTTCCAAGCCAATCTGGGTCGTGTATTCGTAAATGTGAGCGGTGACATCCTTGCCATTGACCTGCTGCTTGGCAATTCCGTCCTGGTAGACACCCAAAGCAGCCAACACGGCGCGAGTACGGGGATTGATCTTAGCACGACCATCGCTGATAATACAGACCACGATCTTCTTCCAAGCATCCTTGCCCCAGGTCTTGCTGCTGGTACGCGACACCATGTGATCAATGTTCTTGAAAACACCAGACATGGTGCGCGCGAAAAGGAAGTCATCCTCGTTGTACATGGTGACGACGATGAAAAGCTCAGTGTGACGGGGCTTGGCAAAAAGCTTCTGGCGCAGTGTAAATCGCTCGTCGAAAAAGTCCGCGGGGTCACAAGTAGCAGCCGAATAACGCATGTGAGTGAACTCGTCACGACCGGGGGGGCTCTGCGTGAGGCACCTGGCTCAAGAGTTTAGGCGCGATCGGACAATCAAGGACGAGATTGCCGTTGAACAATTGGACCTCCTTGACAGTCTTCCAGCGTCGAATAGGAGCGGGACTAGGCGTTGGGCGCGGCTCATCTTCGAATTCCTCCTTATACGGGTCCGGCCCAAAGGGGTTATCGTGCTCCAACATGGGGGCACCAGGGTGTTCATCAAATGGGGAACGGCCTTCAGGATGCTGGCCGAGGTCATAGTCGTACTCGTCATGATAAGGTTGAGCCTGAGGCGGATGCGACACATACTCGCCAGGAAGGTAGGCGTCGTGGTGAGCATTGGGGTCGAATGCGTAGTCTTCACGACGATCGGGATTGCTGGGGTCTGCGTAAGGATTTTGGTAGCCAGAGTGTGGGACATTCTCGACGGAGTACTAAAGAGTTGGTTATACATTAGTGCTCTTCCCGTTAAGCTGGGACATGCGCGCAGTCATGGTAGATGTCAAAATCCACTCACGGTTGGTTGAGAGGCAAGCTGATCAGCCGAGGGCATATGCAAACGCTCGCCATATGGGTTGTGTGAATGTTGTGCGTAAGGGTTGTCCTCCAGCTGATAGGCATTTCCTGGGGATGGGGTTCGATTGTTGTAGCTGTTCATGTGCTGAGGATTGGGATGCAAAGGCGAGCGATTCTCGTCCCCAAAGGGGTCTGGCGTGCGCATCTTGTTAGCTTGTGCTGTTTCCACGGTTGCCCCAGATCACACTGGCTCAGTCGCCTAGAAGGATAGAGCGGAGGAGAGTTGTCAAAGGGACCACGTAATGACCGTGCACCGTCAATGTCCAGCACCACGGCGCAAAAGTCAGACGGGTAGATGAGGTATATGCGCAAAGAGATATTGGCAGAAAGAGGTATGCAGGTACGCAGGGCTGAAAGACAAGAAAAGGAGAGGAACTAACCGATGCGATTATATGACATAGCGTCGAGCTAGGCTTGAAACTTAGCTCAAAGCAATAATGCCGCCCCGAAGGACAAGGGCGGAGGGGGGAAGTCGTTGGCTGGAGATTGCGCCAGGAGCCAAGTGGAATCGACAGGCTCCGTGATTTGGAGGAATCACTAGTCCGAACGACGGACCCAAACTCTCGGCGGGCGTTTCAGAAACAGCGAATGTGCCAGACGAGATGATGAGAGGAGGAACAAATATGAGGGGGGAGGGTCCGTGTCGCACGATTGGAGGAGTGTTAAAGGGCAAGACAGCAGAGATAAATTCCGGACCCCTGGGTGTTTACGAGGCCTTGACGATCGCTGTGATGACGGTGGAGATGAAGGCAGGCAGACGAATAGGCGCTTGGCTGGCCGACCCGCAATAACAGAGGATGATGTGATGCGGTGCGATGCAATGTTAAGACGATGTTAATGCTTGTATCTCGAAGGGCGAAGATGAAATGCAAGAAATCATGTGTGAAAGAAGAGGGACCGAAAAAAAAAGAGAGAGATCCAAACGCTGATTGGAAAGTGAACAGCAAGCCAATAATTCCCCGGGGGAGTGAAACGAGCGATCCACGGGTTGCGATGCAGCGAGATGAAGGTGGAGACAACCGGTCGTCACTGGGCCAACGTGAGGCACGCTTGTGATGCTGCCAAGACAAAAAGTGTGGTGCAGCCACGGGACTGGCGTGGCAAGTGCGACCAGTACCTGTGGTTGTGGCGGTGTGTTGTGGCTGAGGCTGAGGAATACGACTTATTTTTAGCTACTGGCAACTTGGTTGCCTACACCCCGCACATATATGAAGAGTATGTATATCGATATGTCGCAGATGCAGATGTCATATGTCTTAGAATAGATATTGTATACTATTCAACAATCTAGTCATTTTACTAACTATAGTAGGTACTCGTGTGTTACTGCTACTGCCACCGCACCGCCGAGGTCACGGGAGATTAGATAGACGGCCCCGTTCCTCACTATGGGATTCGACAGAAGACAGCCCCGAGCCCTACTGACGTAACCGCCACAGACATTTACTTCAATTCGCAGTTACTTCCTTCCATAATCGCATGGGAGACCTCTTTCCAAATCAATCACCTCTACTTCTACCTCCACCTCTACCATGCCTCCCCCCGTTAGCGTCTTATTTGTCTGCCTGGGCAACATCTGTCAGCCACCCCACCACCCTCACTCCGCCCCGCTAAGCCTTGCTGCCACTGTCCCATTCTAACGCCCATCAGGTCGGTCACCCATGGCCGAAGGCGTCTTCCGCAATGTCACCGAGTCCAATCCTATCATCGGCGAGATCGACTCAGCCGGTACCGGTGCTTATCACACCGATGAGCCCCCCGACTCACGGACCATGTCCACCCTACGCCATCACGGCATCACCAGCTACCACCACGCCGCTCGAAAGGTCACCAAGGACGACTTTCTGAAATTCGACTACCTACTCGCCATGGACAAGTACAATCTGCGCGATCTCCTGGACACCCGCGAGTCTGTTATCAATTCATTGAACCGAAAAGCCGACCCCAAGTCTTCTGCCAAGAACACCCGAGCCGCGCGGGACGCTGCGCTGGGCGCTGCTGGTGACGACGCCAAGGTCGCGGAGGTTCGCTTGTTCGGGGACTTTGGTCGTGGTGGAAAATTACATGATCGTGTTGGTGGTGGGGAGGTCGTGCAGGATCCCTATTATGGTGGTGCTAATGGCTTTGAGGAGGTCTATCAGCAAGTCGTGAGGTTTTCTCAGGGCTTTGTCGATTATCTGGAGGGCGAAGAGTAGGTCAATGACTGGCTCTTGACATGATATATGAACTGAAAGGTGTGGATTGGAATAATGGGGTATAAGGTCCCAATATCATAGACGTATGTTAGAATATACCAGATACCAGGTGCTTTACAGGCAGCACCTGATCGATGATACCAGTGCTATATATAGTCCCGGAATGATATTAGACAACCACCTAGGTGGGTGATGTGAGATTCAAGTTCTAAGGTTGATTTCATGGTACCAGTCCATGCCACCTGGGTACCTACGTAACAGCTAGAGGGAATGCACGAAATGTCCCCGAGACAGTTTCCAGCTACTACAGTTTCCAGATTGATAGGATGACGTTACAGAAATGTTGCTCGCTTTGATACATGATTATTTGTTATACAAGTATGTGGGACGGAACATAGTATGACACAGGTAGACACCACAACACAACTGACCCCTCAGTTAGACCTTCTCACTGATCTTGATAGCAGTCCTGCACCCTAGACGAATCACATCCACCAGTGGATCGTACGGCCTAGCCTCCTTGGAATCGTTGGCAACAGCGTGGTCCAGGTGCTCCAATTCCTCATCCCGAATTCGTCGGAATGTGCTCAGCATCTCCTTGAGCTCATCATCAAGTTCCTCCCCCTTTCGTTCCGCATCCGCCTCCCAGGATAGGATCTCTCTCACTTGGTCGTTGTAGTGTGAACCGATCTCCGTCTCCACCGCCTCGGTACATGCCATGGCAGCTTCCCGACCCAGCGCGGCGGTGGACCATCCTAGGAAAGTAGCTGCAGCCTCCCAAAACGGGTACATGGCTGTTGGACGAATCTCGTGCTTCGCAACAAGTTGGTTGAATGTCTTCAGGTGGCCTGCCTCCTGGTCGTACATGTGTTTCATTAAGGGTCGGAGGTGTGGATGGGATCGGACGATTTGAGGGGTTTGCGCGGTGTAGATGAGAGTCGCGGCGAGTTCACCGGCCTGATTGACCCGCAGAGCACCGTCCATGAATTCACGCTGTTTCTTGCTCAGAACATATCGAGGCTTAGAGGTACCGTCCGTTCCGGTCGTAGAGGCGTATCGGTGCTGGGATCGGACCGCAGTCGGGGCAAGGAAATCGAGGAAGATTGGTGATACTCGTCGAGTTGGGCGTCGGCATTGCGCTGGCAAGCACCGCGGAAGCGTAGGGATAGACTCCATTGTGCGTATTCTCAGAGCTGAAGCTTGCTGCTGTTGCTGTCGAGTCTTGGAGGTCGGTAAAAGGGCCTTGCCGCTGCCGCGCGCTTGAGTCTTGGCGCGGCGAACGTCATGAACCGACGGCAAAGGCCAACTTGCGACAGACAACCACGCCCTCCCGGCAATACCCTCACCTTTTACGCCACCCGCCGTTTGTACAGAGCCTTCATTTTTGGTGGGGGATTTTCTCCGAGATCGAAATTCCGCCTTGACTCCATCGCCTAACTCGAGGCACATCTTTGTTGAATCTTTGCGCCTCCTAGCCAGGAGCCTCTTTCACTTGGAGACCAGGGTTAGGCAGGCATACGGAGAGGCAGGCAGCCAATCTACACACACGTTCTTTCACCTTACGTCTTAATACCGGCCCAAATACCGGGTGAATTCAGTCAGAATGGCGGACGCTTTGGACGAGGAGCTGCTCGCTCTGGCAGGCGACTCTGACGAGGAGCAATCACCTCCCCCCCCAGCAGAAAGATGAATCACCGGCACCATCCCGCTCATCTCGTTCACCAGACCGTGGTTTCTCACCTGAGCCCACAAGTCGCAAAGGTTCCACCAAACATTCGAGGAAGCCAGTGAAAGACGAAGAGGACGGCGAAATGTGAGTATGCCTTGAAATGGTTGCCCAGTCTCATTTACTGATGTACGTATTTGCTGTATTCAGGTCCGACGCCGAGTCACACCACTCTCTTCAGTCAGCCCCCATGTCGGAGTCCGACTCTGAGGGAGGAGGTTCTGATGATGAAGACCGCCCAATTTTCCCATACGACAAGCTGTACTATTCAGCGAAGGAGAAGGATGAAATCATGGCGATGCCCGAAATCCAGCGCGAGGAGATGCTTTCCGAGCGTGCTCAGCAAGTCGACCGTCACAACCAGGATCTTGCTCTACGCCGGCTTCTCGCCTCCCGAGAGCGCGAAGAGGCGCGAGCCGCCAAGCAGGCCAAGCGCAAAGCCGGCTCGGCTGGTCTTGATGAAACCCAGCGCAAGAGTTCCCGACAGAAGACGACGCTTGGTGGCCGCAAGGTCGGCGAAACCTCCGCAGCAATCGATGCCTATAAGCGCCAGCGCGAGCAGAAGGGCAAGCGTGATCAGAACCGTGCTCGAGACACTACCCAGACACGCAGGCGATCTTCTGTCTCAAGTGCCTCTCTGGGCTCGGATGACGATGCCGATGCGGACAGCGACATTGATCTGGATGACCGCGTTGGAAGCTCTAAAGTTGTTCCCAAGGACGACCCTCCCGCCGAATTACGCGATATTCAACGTGCCCGTGTCGGCCGTAGCAACTTTGCTCAAGTCTGCTTCTACCCTGGATTCAACGAGCGTATCACTGGCTGCTATGCTCGTGTCAATATTGGCCCTAGTAAAGAGACGGGTCTCAATGAATACCGTCTCTGCTTGATCACTGGTAAGAGCTCCTTCTCATGACCGATGTGGCTATTTCACGCCAGTCACTAACTTTCCGATAGGATTCACCTCAGGAAAGCCTTATGCTATGGAGGGAGCTAATGGCCGCTCATTTGTCGTCGATCAGTATGCCAAATTAGCACACGGAAAGGCCATTCGAGATTTCCCCTTTATCGCCTGCTCCGATTCTCCTTTTAGTGACGTGCGTTGCCTACTCCCACATTTATTTGGGAATAGTTTCACTAACCAGTCTACAGAGCGAATACGCCCGTTACCGCAAGACCATGGCGGTCGAAGATTGCAAGATGGCGACTCAGAGCAAATTGGCAGCAAAGGTTGTCGATATCAACAAACTCATCAACCACCAGTTCACGAAGGAAGAATTGAGCGAAAAGCTCCGCAAACAGGGCGCACTTGATGAAAAGAAGAATGTCCTTCGTGAAAACGACATTCAAAAAGACCTACTAGTTGCACGAGCCAATGGCAACGATGACGAAGCTGAGCGTCTGCAAAAGGAGCTGAATGACCTCCGCAACCCCAATCTCTCTTGGGGAACATCTCTTGCGGCCAAGCCAGCCGGAGAAACCAAACTCTCTGAAGCCGAACGCGTTCACCAAATCAACTTGCGAAACCAGAAGCTCAACCACGAGAATGTGCGTCGAGCCCAACTTGAGGAGCGCAAGGCTGCTCGCCTAGCTGCCGCAGCTGTGGCTCGGGGTGAAGCCACTGTCAATCCTTTCATGCGTGTTCGAACCATTGCGAAGACCCACCACGACGTAAACACGAAGCCCACAGACTCACCGAAACCCGCTGATTCTACCCCCACCGATACCCCCAAGGAATCTGCCAAGTCGGGCGCCGATGGTGCTTCAGATGCCGCCAAGTCTAGCTTGACGCCGAAGAAGCAGAGTGGTTTCATGATCAGTTACCGCAACAACGATGACGAGAATATCGCGGCTTTGGATATGGACATCGATATCGATATTTGAGACTGTCCCATCGCATATCTGATCAGTTGCATCTTTCCGTCCAAGTTCTGTCGACTCAGATGTGGCTTATGTCACTAAGCTAAGCATCTAGCAGTTGACCAAATCTTTTTAATAACCTCAAAAACCCTGTACACACTAGAATATCTACCGGCGGATGCTGATAGGGTGTCTTCTTCTCTTTCTTGTTTCTTTTTTTATCATTTTGGATAAGGCCCACGATCATTCGTCGTCAAGCAAAAGAAATTCCTACGGGAGTACCTGTATTATGAGCACAATTCGAATGGAGCATGACTATTTTTCAAGCCACTCGGAAAGCATAGGTAGTAGTAATAGCTGCGTATTCTGGAATACAAGTAGCAAATCAGTTAACTAGCCAACTTTGGAATCACTGATTAATTGCACTTGATTTTACCAGATGTACTAGATTAAAAATTTTGGAAATTCACAAAAGTAAAATTACAGACAGCACGTTCATACAAGTTGGCGATTCCGATGGTTGAACTGCTCTATTGGTTTATAGTGGCGCGCGTGGATGTAGTCACGTGTATGGCCCAGCAACGCGAAGCACGCGCGCATCGCGTTCCACCTCCCCAGGTATGCCACCCTTGAAGACCCGCATTGTCGACTCTTCAATCCTCCTCACTACAATTAATTGATCCCACAATGATCCGTGACACTCTATGATTGACCCGGATTATCGTTTGAAACCATACACATCCACAATGTCCTCCGCATCTACACCGCGCTCGACGCGCTCCGCGTCGCCAGCGAACAATTCCCCTAACATGCTTACACCCGGCCAAAAGATCAAGGCCATGATGGCGGAATTCGATAGTGATAGCGAGAGCGACCCCCAAGCCACGAAAAAGAAATCTACAATGCCGAAGCTGGACTTCGGTCGCAATAAGACATCGACTACTACTGAAACGCGCCAACCTCAATCTAATAACGATAGCTCGGACGACTCGGACACTGCGGATGATATTGTTCGACCTCAGGGTCGAATGGCTGCTCGAATGCAAGGTGCCACCAACGAGAGCAGTGAACAAGGGTCTGCTTTCTCTCGCCTGTCGAATGCACTCCGATCCGAGAGAGAACAAGTCCAGAAGCCACGCGATAAGAGCGCCGCGTCGGTCCACGAGTCAAGCGATGATGACCTACCAGTAACTGGGTCCAAGAAGAGGAATAATGCGCAGGTTCAGCGTTCTTCTACCCCGGAGACTCACCTACTCATAGCCGTGCCGACTCGCCATTATTTGTTTCCTCGCCTGCAGCTACCAGGCCGCAATCCGAAGCCCGCAGCGACAAAGCATCCGGAAGTGACAGTGAAGCACCTAGCAAGGCAAAGAACGCCAGATTTCTTGAACTTATCGCACAAAAACGCAAAGAGCGCGAAGAGCGGGAGCGAGTCGAGGCTGAAGAAAAGGCCGCCCGACGAGCGAAAATGGCGCAATTCAGCTCTGATATTCTATCTGGGGAGGAGAGTGAAGCTGATGATCCGGGTTCTGCGCATAAGTTATCTCAGAAAGCTCGTCAGCCACGCAAGGCCAGCAAGAAGGCCCTGGAAGAGATGAGCAGAGAGACTCAGCGCATGAGCCGGAATATGCAGCTTGCCCACCAAGCCCAGACCAAGAAAAAGATTACGAAAGAAAGCCTCTTTGCTCGATTCAACTTTATGCAACCCGATCCCCCTCCAGCCGAACCCGCAGCGGCGAACTCGTCTTCCGCAGCTGGCTCACAAAACTCCTCCGATATCGAGGGACAGAAGCATGAGACACCTCGTACCTCCCCTGTCCTTGGTCCTGCTGATGGAGAGAAGCCCGCCGCTACCGACATTCCAGGTGAAGGCCAGCCAGAAGCAGTTCAAGAGCAGGCCGATGTCGAGATGACCGATCTGCCCACCCTTGAGGAGGCCATTGCCGACACCCCAATTGAACCAAAGAACACAGATTCCCTCGTTGCGCCTGTACCTGAAGTCACCGCGAAGTCACCCGGAAGCATCGTTCAACCCAAGGAAGCAATTCGAAAAATCGCCCCGCCCTCTGTCCGTGTCCTCATGTCCCGGCAAGAGGTCGCCCAACATCAAAACGATGGGTCAGACAGTGATGAATTGGAGGTTATTACGTCTCCGGCCAAATGCCGTCGAATCGCCGCCTTTGAGAATCTGCCCTCCCGCCAGATGCAGGAATCTTCCTCCATGACCAAGCTTAAAGCTCTGGCGCATCTCACTTCTCCCAACCGTAAGATGAGTTCGATGAGCTCCGCCGAACTCTCTGCCAGCCTTCTTTACAAGGCGCGTCAACAAGCCGCCAAAGACAGACGCGAGCGTATTGAAGAGCTCAGGGCAAAGGGTGTTGTCATTGAGACTGCCGAGGAGCGTGCCGCCATGGAAGATAATGTTGAAGATCTGGTTGAGAAAGCGCGCCAAGAAGCCGATGAGATCGCCCGCGAGGAGCGTGCGGCCAGGAGGAAGGCGAAGGGCCTTGATGCCGATGACGACGAGGAAGACGATGATGACTATGCTTTCTCTGGATCTGATGACGATGCATCTGGCGAGGACGAAGAGGAGGATGAAGAGGAGGGTGCAAAGGGCGAAATGAGCATGTTCGAACGAGAGGCGGATGAAGCAAATGAATCTTCTGGAGATGAATCAGAGGCGGCCGTCTCAGAGCCTGAAATCGAAGCCTCCGGATCCAGGAGAAAACGCCGCACCCGCGTCGTTAGTGATGACGAGGATGAGGAAGAAAACGAACAACAGATTCCTTCTACGCCTGTCCGACATCCATCTCATGTTCCGCAGTCGGTTGAACGACCCAAGTTCCCCGGAATGGAGACCCCGAACATGTCCATGGGTCTTACTCAGGCCTTTGCGGGCACTCTTGCTGACGAAAACGCCAGCCAGCCAGGAACGGGCACTATTCCTTTCTCTCTCCCTGATCCTGGTAGACCAGTTCCCAGACTTCATGCTGAGGAATCTGAGATTCTTGTTAAGGACAGCCAGGAGCAGAACGAGACTGATTTCATGCCCGCCTATAATACAAATGTCAACAGGGTATCAGAATCTCCTGCAGGACATGGTTTCTCTGAATTCTCGCAGATTCCGGATCCGACGCAGGATGAGGGCTTTGTCTTCTCGCCATTCGACCCTTCCAAGCGCTTCAGAGAAACGCCGCCGGTCTCAACCATAGACACCGTCATTGTTGGCCAAAGCCAGTCACCTGTGGCTGAGCGCAAAGGACGAAAAATCCGACGAGGACGTGCTGCCAATTTGTCCGCTGTCGAGGAGCAAAATGAAGACGAGGGTGAATTTGAGATCAACGCCAACGCTTTCAACGTCATGAAGAAGGCGGCTAAGAAGACAACAACGCCCTATGACAAGAAGAACAGTAAGGCAAAGGGTGTGGTTGACGAAGCCGCTGAGGAATCCGAAGATGAATATGCTGGTATTGGAGGTGCTAGTGATGACAGCGATGGAGAAGAGGATGTCCGCGATCTGAATATGATCAATGACAACAGTGGCGAAGTGGTGGATGAGAAAGAGCTTGCCGCTCTGAATGCGTATGTGTGAAATTGTCTATTTGCCTGATTCTAATTACTGACATGCTTTAGTTCCCATCAACGAAACCGTGACGAGAAGGATGTCGCGAAGTTGCTCAAGGATATCACCACTGGAGCTCTGCGTCGTCGTCGCGGCGGTGACGATGACCTTGACCTCGACGATTCGGACGATGAGCGCGTTGCACGTCGACGCGAAAAGCAGCGCGAGTTCGCAAAGATGCGCAGAGCTCTGCTTGCCGACGACAAGGTTGGAGCTCTCGCTGAGAATCCCAAGAAGGCTGCCTTTTTCAAGGCTATTGAGGACCGCGAAGATCAGGACGACTTTGAGCTAGAGTTCTTGGAAGAGAAGGAGAGTGCGTCGCAGGGCGAATCCTCTCAAGATGTTGCCGCCGATCAACAGGGCGACGCTGGAGATGATAGCAAGAAGCGCAAGCGACCCCTTGAACCTTCTACTGAAGATGCCACCAATCGACCTCCTCCTCATCTCCGTCGAACCGCTGCTAGCGCGATGTCGAAGAAGCCCGCTACCCTGGCCGAGGTCCGCGAGACTCTATCCTTCCTCACCGAGACTCATGAATATGACTCCTTCCACGAGGATGCCTCCATCGACGGAGACGAGGATGCCGACGAAGAAGCCGACACTAACACCTCTGGCAACGACGAAGCCTACTCCGAAGACGCCCAATCCCAACCCAAAGAGACCTTCGCCAAACCCAGTCACCCGCGCCGCACCCGCGGAACAGTCATCGACCGACTTGCCCTCCTGCGCCAGGCATCTTCCAACTCCGCAACCACAACCGCATCTGGCTCCGCAAACAACAAAATGGCCTTCCACAGCGGCGGGAACTCAGACGGACCCATCGGGTTCCGGCCTCCACAACTCCTGCGCCGTGTCACTTCCGGCTCATCCTCCAGCAACTCAACTACTTCCAGCTCATCGAGCAGAATTCCCACCGCTGCGTCAGGACCTAAGAAGGGAGGTGCAGTCAACTCCTACACTGCTGCACGCGAGCAGGAGCGTGAGAGACAATTGCGCTCCAAGCAACGCAATGGCGGATCTAATATTGCTAAGCTGCTGAGCAAACATGCTGGCGGTGGACTGGGTTCGTTGGCTGGCAAGGGTCAATGGGATTGAGCTGGCACTCAACTACAACTTTGTTATGAGAATCATTACGCATGTCGATTACTAGTACTACCATATGTTTGGCGTTTGGGTGGGGGGGTTTTTTTGTATCGAGGTTTAGGTAGTACATTGGACATTTTAGAATGATACAAATAGTACAATCTTTCATTGAATTCGGGCTGGCGAGTTTCTACGTAATATGATTCTTGGTTGTCTACTTATAACAACCACTTTCAAGTTTCTTTCAGTCGCCTTTCTAGTAACCATAAGCGGCGTCTCATCCCAGTGTTAACCCCAAGCTCTCTGTGCCCTCACCAAATCTGTGTCAACATCTGACAATCGGTGCATGGGTCTGGAAGGATAGGATGCTCAAGGGAATTTCTCCCTGGCTCGTGCCTGATCCTAGCATCTTTCGACAGCTCTTCAGAGTGATTCAGTACCCAGCAATTTGCCCATTGGTCTTTCGCCTGAGCTTTGAGCGAACTGGTCTTCTGGCTACTTATCAGTACCGATAACGCTCCTTCTTAAACAGCGCGATGGATCGACATTGTACTGCAGTGGTGGCCATAGCTTGATGTTGGAGTACGACAAGCTTTGTGGATGCTGAGGCATCATCCCGGCGGTTGTATTTGCCGTAAGGGGTGTGGCGTGTAGCGTGTAGCGTGAAACGGAAGTCCGTGGTTCATGGTGATGTCGTCTTTCGGCGTGTCAAGTGTATCGAACAAGGACACCAGTGACGTCGGTGTGTCTGCGCTTTCGGAAACGAATGATGGGCTTTTAGCCCAAAACATATCCACTGGCAGCATCGGTCTTCTGGGTTGGAAGTTTATATTAGGGTCTGCTGCAGTGGGATCTTTGATGTTATCAGCGCGTTTGAAATCCACTTCACTGTTTAAACCTTCATTGTCACAATTATATAAGAGGGAAAAGGGAAGAGCGAACTCTTGGGAACTTGAATTTGTTTACCTGTAAACATGGAAGGTACTATCTAGACTTGGAGGGCAGCACCCAGTAGTTACTACTACTAGTAGTACCTGATTACCTGAAGCAGGCACGATACCTTGTATGGAAGGCACGACATGGAAGGCACGGTAAACTGGATACTCCAGGCTACTTCAGACTACTTCAAGTTACGTCAGGTTGCAGCAATACGCCCCAAAAGGTACTCAATAGTTCTAGTACTAGTAGTAGCAATGCACCGCAAAGAAAGAGACAGTGTCTCCACATAAAATAATTATCATCGGAAACCCTCTGAGATACACGGTATCAATATCATAGAATATTGTGAATAATAGCAAGAACAGTCTCACCGTCGACCAGAGTACCAGTAATTTTATGATGTGTACTGGTGTACTCTGTACTTGTATACTTCCTTATCCCAATTCGGTTTGGCGGATCGAAAACGTGGATACCACGTGATATTGCTAACGTAATCCACGGCCGAGCTGCGCACACGGTCGGCCTGCGCACCCCATCGAAAATCGCGTCTTCCAGCCACTCTGCCTAGTTCAATTACCCACCATGCCACCAATTCGCACTGAATCTTCGCAGAAATCGGCCAATCAAGAGGGCAGGATCTTATTAGCCCTATCCGATATCAAAAATGAACGTATCATATCTCTTCGCGCAGCAGCAAGGCTATATGATATACCCGAATCAACACTCCGCAGTCGCGCAAAGGGTATATCATCACGCGTCGATATACGCCCAAACGGCTATAAATTGACCCAACTTGAAGAGGATTCGCTTACTGAATGGATACTCTCTATGGATTCGCGTGGAGCAGCCCCTAGGCCCTCTACTGTACGAGAGATGGCCGATATTCTTCTTGCAGCGCGTGGAACAACCCCCCCCATTGACTGTTGGTGTTAATTGGGCGTCAACCTTTGTTAAACGACGCGATGAGCTTCGAACACGCTTCTCGCGACGATATGACTATCAGCGTGCTCTTAACGAGGATCCAAAGGCTATACGAGAGTGGTTTTTGATGGTACAACGTACGATTGAGGAGAACGGTATCCAACCGGAGGATATCTATAACTTTGATGAAACTGGCTTCGCAATGGGCCTTATATCAGCACAGAAGGTAGTAACGCGAGCAGAATACTACGGTCGGCGATCAATCCTACAGCCAGGAAATCGTGAATGGGTTACTGCGATTGAAACGATATGCGCTGATGGCTATTCGCTACCGCCGTGTATTATCTTTAAAGGCCAGGTTTATATTGCTGGTTGGTTTGAATCAAATCTCCCTAGGGATTGGCGAATTGAGGTTTCGAATAACGGCTGGACTACTGATGAGATCGGCCTACGTTGGCTACAAAAGATCTTTATTCCATACACTAATTCGCGCGTACGAGGGCGATTTCGTCTCTTGATCCTCGACGGACATGGTAGCCACCTTACACCTCAATTCGATCAAATCTGCTCTGAAAACGATATTATACCACTCTGTATGCCTTCACATTCATCGCATCTTCTACAACCGCTTGATGTTGGGTGTTTTGCTGTTTTAAAGCGTGCGTACGGTCGATTTGTGAGCGATTTAGCCCGAACTGGCTATAATCATATCGACAAGCTTGATTTTCTAGCAGATTATCCTCGCGCACGACTAGAAGCTTTCCAGCTAAATATCGTACAAAGCAGCTTTGCAGCTTCTGGTATAGTACCAGTTAATGCAGAAAGGGTACTTTCTAAGCTTAATATCTCTATCCGAACACCTACACCACCAAGCAGCAGACCAAACAGCAGATCTAGCCAATTCACACCAAAAACACCTAGAACAGCGATTCAGCTAGAAAAGCAAGCTTCTATGCTTAAAGAGCTATTAAACCAGCGATCACACAGCCCGCCTACACCATCAAAAATCATGCTTGATCAGATTATCAAGGGCCACTGTATAGCGCTACACAACACTGCGCTACTAGCAAAGGAGAACTCCAATCTACGCGCAGCGAATGAAAAGAAACGTCAAAAGCGCACTCGATCGACTAGGCAGATTACTCATGAGGGGGGCCTATCGATCGAAGAGGGCCTACAGCTAGCTCAGCAGCCAATTCAGCCGGTAGAAGCTAATGAGGTGGTATCGCATGAACAGGGTAATTTGCCTACTCAGCAGGATCAGCCACGCAGGAGGGCTCTGCCTACCTGTAGTGGATGTGGAGGAAAAGGCCACAAGATTAATCAATGTAAAAAACGCTAGATTAGTATTAATTAATGTGTTTCGGTTGCGATATTCTGTTTTAAAACTATATCATAGGGGTGGGTGCGCAGGCCGACCGTGTGCGCAGCTCGGCCGTGGATTACGTTATTGCAAATTATCGCTGACTAAGTATGGTTTGTATAACTAGTTAACTAAGGTAAATCTTGATTTTGGATCTGCACGTTATGGTGTATAGGCAGAAGCTCGGAGATAACTACCCAAAATGCTCCCTCCAATCGTACCCATCAAACCCACTACCAAATCTTCAATCCAATCGAAAGGAGCTCCAAAAAAAAGCCCCGCCGGGCTCGGAGGAGATGAGATGGTGGCTAGCGCTGGCGTGATGACGCGTCGCCATGATCCGAGATCAGAAATCACCATCAGATAATGCAGCTGCTCTGTCTCGAGGAATTTCAAAACATACGGTTGCCAATTCTCCAGCTGCTGGCATGATGCGGTTGTTTTCCCAACTTGCGATCCGCTCTATTGTGAGCTTATCGATCTTCTCCGGTGCCATCGCATCTACTACATCTACATCTACATCTACTGCCGATCCCGTTGCCCAAAATGCAAACCACATCTTCAACGTGATTTACGACTCCATGCGCCAATGGGGTTCATCCCTTCATCACAATGGTGTTTCTTTCTTCCTCGCGACAGTTCCCGCCGGGACTCAGTTATACCACGGTACCTCGAACCCGGGCACGGTGACGGGCATGGAATGGCTCGCCTTTGAACCAGAGCATGCCATGGTCTTTGCTCGACCGCATCGAGGCCCTCCTCCGCCTCCACCAGATGATGACAACAACGACGACGGAAGTGACGAGGAGCAGGAGAACCGACGCCACGAAGAATTGCGTCGTCGGTATGGTCAAGGGCTCCCGCCATCTGGAAAATCCGACGAGAGCGAGTCGGGATATCTTCACACCTATGCTGCCGCTAAGGATCTTCGACTCGTCTATATCGACGGCATGTCCGCCGGCAAAACAAAGAAGGGAACTCTAGACTCGCAAGATTACGTCTTGTTCAACGGTACTATCGAGGGATTCTCCCAGGACAAGAAGCCAGGCCGCGGTCCTGGCGGTCCCCCCGGCGAGAAAGACCGCGCGATCAAGGCATGCGAAATGGCACAGAATGAGTGGGAAGGCCAGATTGATGGTGTTCTCCGCATGGAAGCTGGTTTCGAAATTATTCTCTGTTCGTTCGAGCGTGACTTGACTCCCGTCCGGACCACGCAGGTGAAGAAAGACACAACAGAAGGCGGCAAGCGCAAAGATTCCCCTGAAACCCCATGGTCGTCCTGGCGGTGACAAGGAGAGAAAGGGCCATGGACCTGGTGGTGGACCGGGACCGGACTCTTCGAGGTGGATGCGCGCGGTTACTGCTCGATATGATAGTATTGGTGGAAATCGGGTGTCGTTGAACTACGACCATTTCGTCACAGCCTACTCATACGATTTCAACCTGTTCGCTAATGAATCTGCCTTGCCTCGTCTGGCACATCTTTCATCCACGGAGCGAGCGGCCATTCGCGATGAATTGACCAGTCTGATCTTGAGCAACGACACCAAGGAATCCTCATGGAACTGGCAAGCCACTGCTGACATGATCGTTACGCGCTACTCAGACGAACTGTCTTATCTGGCATCTGAGAAGTTTGTGGATATCAAGGCATTCCGTGACCACATTGAAATGCTTCTATCACCATTCATCGATTACAGCGAGCGAAATACCTCCGACGAGGCCGAGAGATGTGCCACGCAATTCTTGCCGTTCCAAACCCAAAAGGAACAGAATTTGCCAGCGCGCGCTGTGCACCATGTTGCGCATAGTGTCTGCTTGGCGTTGCTTGAGGCTGGAAATGAGGAGAAGCTTAGCCTTGCGCAAAACAGAGTCCATGTCTTGGTTGATTATCTAGATTGGACAAGTTGGAAAGAGTGCCGCGGTTGTGAAGATAACGAGATCTGCGTAATACCGATCTGGCCTATGGGTACCGTATCTGATTACAACAACCCCAAGTGCAGAGATGCGTCTAAACCATACGAGGGAGATGACGGTGAGGGTTATTGGGGTGGGATGCATGGATGATCCGAGTCCGGGAATGGGCTCAATTGAGATATTACTAGTAATATTGTGTCTTTTATGCAGGATATGTGAATAAGTTTCAGAGTTACCCAATTGAAATGGATTTTCAACATTTGCAATTGAAATTGACGCTCTGGCGTAAGAAATAGGTACAGGTGAATTTATAACGAAATAGTATGTAGACGGGAACTCCTCATGTGCAATCGTTTTGGTGTGCGTTACTAGTAGCTCGAAAGCAACTTTTGCACCCTCGAAACATATCAACAGAGGACCCAAAGAAGCGAATGTTCAAATCCCTTCAAGGGTACAAGGGTGTGGAGATATGGATAAACGTCATTTACAGAAGACCGCCGGTGACGGAGGTGACGGAGCCGATGGGGCTCAGGAGGGAGGTGAGACCCAGGGAGCCAAGGAGACCGGTGGCAGTGCCTTCGAGCTGAACAAGCATGGCGGAGGTGCCGTCCTGGCCCAGAACACCGACCAGCTGAGTGGGGTCAGCGGCGATGGACTCAGCCTTGGAAGGAAGGTCGGAGACGGAGGGAACCATAGCGACAACGGAGCCGATGGGGCCCTGGACGGAGGACAGGTCAAGACCGCTCAGGAGACCGAGGACGTTGGAGCCAAGAGCGACGGGCAGGACGTCACCGTTCAGGTCGGTGATGTGCATAACAGTGTCGGTGAGGGAGCTGGTGACATCGCGCTTCATGCTGGGGACAAGACCCTCGAGAGTGCCAACGAGGCTGCCAACAAGGGAGCCAACCTCAGGGAGGCCGAGACCAGAGAAGAGACCCTCAACAGTGTAGGTGAGCTTGACAAGAGCAGCCTCGCCATTCTGGGTGGCGACGGTCATGAAGCCGGAGCCAAGACCCTGCAGGTTCAGGCCGTCGACGGAGGAGGCAGTCTGAACGATCTCACCAACGGGCTCGCTGAGGGGCAGGTTAAGGCCAGTCAGCAGGTTGGCAACAGTGGGCTCAAGCTGGACAAGGATGTTCTTGGACTCCCCGTTGGTGACGGTCATGACGCTGTTGACATTCTGGGAAGCCATGCCACTGGGGGTAGCGCTGGGAGTAGCGCTGGGAGCACCAGTGCACATCGGGATACCGGAGGGAATGGGGACTCCGGAGGGGATAACACCCGAGGGGATGCAGCTGGGGACGCCCGAGGGGACAGTGCCGCTGGGGACGATGTTGGTAGGCAGAGCCATGGCAGTGGAGGCCAGGATGGCGGCGATGGTGAAGGACTTCATCTTGAATTGGTTTAGAGAGTGACTGGTGCTGAAAAGCAGTAATGAATGGACGGTATAGAACCGGAAAAAGGAATGACTGGAGTAAAGGACGGAGGGGAAAACGAGATGCTTCTTGGGATGGAGAAGATATCAAAGTCAAAAGGCATGGCAATGCTCCTTTATACACCCTCCCACCAGCCCTTGATTTTCAGGGGCCGCAACCCAAATGTGAGTTGCATGCAACCGTGAATTTCCTCCTGCCATTCCTGACGTCGACGAGGAGAGGATGCTCCACCTTCGAGATGTTACAAGGCACCAGGCACAATACCGGCTCCACGCAGCTTGTCAATAGTCCAATCCCATGAGATGAACACAGACCGCGGGGCAGGGAATCATTTCACGTCAAAGGGAATGGATCCACAGGTTAAAGCCAAATGGAGGAAAGTCGATGAACCAGCACACGGGGGATTGGGTCCGGAGGTGAGTCTTGATCCTCTCATAAGCTTCATTGCGGGTTCATCCTCATTAGCCACTCCGCAGATCGGCCTCCTCCAACTCCGCTTAATGAAGGTTGGAGCCCGTTGCCGAGCTTTCAAAAGAGGATCCGCAATCCATAACGACGCATCGCCAAATTGTGATCCAGAAAAGATGTCATCGTCCTTTTATGTGAGCTGCAAGACATAGACGTTGATGGAAGAAGCAAATCGGCAGTGATGTAGAGAATACACCAAAAAAAGGAAACATTCGCCACATGGTTCGCACGCACCTGCAATAGCCGGGGCCATGTTCCTGCAGGGTTAAGTGAGCGTCAAAACACACTTCTTCTTTGAAGAGCCCCCGGGAAAGGTTTCTTGGGCCAAGGATCGTCATTAGTACCGCCCCAAATCCATCACAACTGCCAATGGGATTGGGCATAAACGCTCGGGTCCTTGGCGATCTGCAGTGCTGGCCCGCCTCAAAACACGTTTAACAAGAGCGTTAGTCCCCGCTGGAGGGCGCGGGTTGCAATGGAAGTCCCATCAGAGTTCGGTGCTAAACAGGCACTAAAGTTAAATAGCGTCGCCGGTGGACTCTGCAGCCTCCCCGAAGCTTGGTGGAGTTGTTGTTCCTAGTCAGGGGGTAAACAGTGAGATGCCCGCAGGATGGAGTGCCAGGCTTGGCCTGACATCATCGAATGAGTCGCATGCAATCAGCATCGAACTTTTACGTTCCCTTTCATGGGAAAAAAATAATCCTTCCAGAATTACTCCGTGTCGTTGTTGATCTATCTATCCCGGAGCGACGAACTTCGATGTCAGAAAATGCTGAAACATGACCTCTCCACCAGCGAGAGGGGCGAACGGTGCCCCCTGAAGATCCACAGAATTTACGGGGTCAAACCGTTGTTCATTCGGAGAAACCTCAGGAATTGCTGTCAACTCACGAGAGAGTTCCACTAACGGATTTTACATGCGCGGGGGAAAAACTCAAATTTTCTAATCTCGCCAGGACTTTCTATTCAAATAGCCTCGGGATTTCTGAGAGTAGCTCATGCCAGGAATCAAGGCTCGCAGGAGGGAATGCCAACATTCTACTTCCTACTCTGTACAGCTAAATCATTTGAAAGACTTGCTTGTTTGAGACTCATGGGCTAAGCACACAAAAGAACAAGATCAGCCCTAACTAAGGAGGGAGAGGAAAATTCGCGAATATCCACTAACCCCATCACATGCACCACTATTCCCCATCCAAAACTGTGGCCATGGATAGAATGCTCATTTTACTCTTAGAGCGGGACATCTCACCGAAGACCGCTGTGTCTCCTTTCTCTCGTATTTCGCCATGTCACCACCTCCCTAATAAAGTCAAGTCAACCCGGGACTCCTATCTTTCCTTCTCAATGGGGAAGGTTCCTAGAAAGACCGGCTCTGGCTTCAAGCCGGGTTTATTCCGGCGGTTTTAATTTGTAATACAAGATAGTGAAAGGGTGGTTTCCCTTTCTCGACCTGTGGTCTAATGTGACCCTCAAGGACAGGCTGAGCCGGGAGCTTATGTTAGAGAAATCATCAATCCACCGCAATGGTCTCCAATCAAATCCCGACCATAACCATAAGGACTAGGCAGATTCTGCTTTCGCGCTTCCTCACATGAAAGAGAAATTTAAATTTCAGGATTATTTTCATTCCAAGTAATTGCCCAAGGCGGGGGTGGTGATTTAACGAAATTACTCAGGACAGAAAAATATTGGATCAAGAAATAGGCAAGAAAGGTGTTTCCTTTGTCTGTCGTCCTCTTCTTAGAGCAAACCCCTGTAAATGATCCAATCGATGTAGATATACCAATATTGAAACTCCATTAGCCGCAATGAAAGACTATTCGATCACGTAGGGTAAATTAACAGCTTACCATACGCATAAATTCGTCGTATGTAAGATACAGAATAACGAAAATTATCTTTGTCTGCGTAAAGTCTCACTATGATGATCTAGGACAAGTTGAACTATCACAGTTGGACCTGGATGAGCTAGATTCTCATATCGTGTTCTGTCACATGAACCTCACCTCACGCTATATTCTTGTGAAAAAGACATCTTCCGGTGAATACGAGCTGGCCCACATCACTAGATGGGAATATTCAGGTTTCTATCCCTTTGCATACGAGTATGGCCTAAAGGATCTCTATCTAGGTGACCCAGACGTTCCTTTTAGCTGGTATATCTTGTTCAAAAGCCGGATGGAGCATCTACTACCTCAGCTAGAGTGCCATACGAAGCTCATCAAGGCCCTCTGGATTTTAGGAGAGTCTGTGCACCGGGATCATGGATATAAATATCCCGCGGAGGTAGAGGCTACTAAAAGGTGGATCGAGATGGGAAAAATGGAAAGGTCATTGGATTATCCTAAGGGTTGGGTTCTCAAGCCCAGTACGGAAGCTCCTGCGGACTTGTCGAAAGATGATTGGGAAAAACTCGCTAAGGAGTTGGGATTTGTTGTGCAAAGCGATGGTGAATGGAAGGCTCCTCGGCCAGCTTCTAAATTGGCTACATCGGATCATTCAGGCGAGCGGTACACGAGATTGATTCAATGGTGCCCTAGACTAACAAAACTTCGGGCCCCAAATCGTAACTAGGTTTATAGTTCAAGTTACTGAGGCCTACGGCATGGCCAGCTCACACTTCAAGCATGCATGACTAGGGTACCCCTCTGTCTGCATTCCATTGCTTCTATCGCTTGCATTTCTTTCATCGCGACTTAAGTCGTTTGCTAGCCGCTTGTATACGGCGTTTATCACTCATTCAGAGAGTACTAGATATTGCGTCAGGCTAGTCCCACTTTCTAGTCTAGTATCATCTCATCTTTCTCCATTCCGTCTTATATTTGCTCGTAGATCTAGTTGGCCTCAGTCACTACAATTGCCGTTCATAATTGTGTCTTCCCCGGAATTATTAACAATAAAGACTCCCCCTTTGCCTTGTGTGCCAATTAGACAGACCTGGAATGGCTTTGGGATTTTTGAGAATGTTTCTTCAATATACTACTAGCCGGTTTAAACATAAAGGAGATGTATTCTACCACCATTCTATATCGGACATTACCAAGTAGTTTTAAATGACAATTCAACCGGCGACAAGACTATAACTATGACCCCAAGACTGCACCGCCACCTGGAGAGCATTTCACAGTTTCGTCCGCCCATGAATCGATTTCGGTCAAAGTCTTTTGAATATCACCCTTAATTAAAGGGATAGTTTCAGCTCCTAAGAGTAGTCGCATAGGCAGCTGACGCTCGTTCTGTGCAACAACAGTATCGAAAAGCAGACGGGCGCAAATATTAGGATCACTCCATGTGGCTTGAGACTCGGGATTTGTGATATAATCCAAGATCTGGTTGAATACGGTGTTTGGAGTATTGTAAGCAGGGTGTCGGGCGGCAATATTCATGTTGGGCCCGGCGAAATTTGTACGAATTCCCCCGGGAGCAACAATCATAAGCTTAATGTTCCACTCCGGATTCATTTCCTGGGCGACCGATTCAGTGAAGCCTTCCAGTGCAAATTTACTATCAAAATATCAGCGAGTAGAAATTTGGGCATCGGAAGATTTTTGAATCTCACCTGGCATGATAGTACGAATGACCTGGAGCGGTCCACCATCCACCCATCGAAGATATCTGGAGGACTGTACCTCCTTGACCTTGGGGGTTCACTTCACGAAATACTCGTAATGCTTCTTTTGTGGCGTGAACCGGTCCCCAGAAAAGAGTCTCAAGTTGAAGTCTGGCGTCAGATTCGGAGATCGCCTCGGTATCTCCGACTAAGCTATAGCCAGCATTGTTGATAAAAACATCAATGTGGCTCCATGTTCGAACGACACTGCTGACGACGATAGCAATTGATTCTTGTGAGGTCACGTCAAGGGCAAATTTAAGCACCCTCGCATCATCTGGCAGATATGATAGCGAGTTGATGTTGCGGGCGGTGGCCACGATGTGATGACCAGAATTATAGATAGTGGTTGCAAGAGCCTTGCCAAGACCAGATGAACAACCAGTCACTATTTAAATAGTAAGTTGAAGTTTAAAAATAGGAGTCAGATTTTAGCAAATCAACGGACTTACCAAACCAAACGGTTTCATTGCCCAGTTTTGTCGGGTTTGATGCCATGATAGTTGTTGTTGCAATAAAAGTGACTTTCGGGTAGATCAGAGGGAAGATCAGAAGAGTTTGAAAGCGAAGGAGCCTGGAAGAAAAGGAAAATAAACCTGGGATTCTGCTTTTTTCTATCCCCCTTCCTACCTCCCTCATATACTAGCTTCAACATTTTAAGTCCGTCTTGTGTCCGATCATATCCGAAAATATAGATTTAGAATGAGGATTGTCCCACTAGGCAAGGCACAATTCGATCGATCTAACGCCATTAGGAACATGCACTAGTCCGAGTATCATCACGTTGGTGGGTCGGGCTGAACAACTGCTGTCAGATTCGCCGCAACACTGCCACAGGTTTCAATTTGAGCTCGTGTCTAAAGTGACCCCTCTTTTCCATCCACATTGTACGACAACCGTGCCTGCACAATTTCTCCATTCGGACCAAATTTCCAGGCCTCCCGTGATGGCTACAGCGAATGGTAGAGCCGCCTTTATTGTGATAACTGAAGACCCGCAGCAAGATCGCGGCAAGCGCCTGAGCCAAGTGCGATCGCATCTCGCCAAAGAGCGCCATCGATCTCGTCGGGGAAATGATCGACTCGGGGTGCATAGCAATGGCAGTAGTGATAGTCAGGATTTCAGGACACCGACCCCGGAGAGTGCTCTGAGCCTCATACCGGAGATCCCAGTCAGGCACAAGTCCCCGCCACTCGCCTCCTCGGCAACTGGGTACCGACGGATGCAGAAATGTGAGCACTTAACAGTGATTGGCAATGTGAGAATAGTCTCTATGAAAGGTTTTTGTACTGACCAGGGTAGTTATGCACCAATACGTACTCTACGGTCAACAGGTCCATCCGTTCTTCTCCCACGTCATATACGCAGCGACATCCCATACAGCTCTTATGAGTACAAAGATTCTGAACGCATCGGCATGGGATGATTTAAATACGGAGGGACAAATTAGTAGTCTGACCTTACAACAGTGTGCGATAACTCGCAAGTTGCTGGGGGAAGTACTAGAGGACAGAGAGCTAGCATGCAGTGAGCCCACTTTTGCAGCTCTAGTAGCAACTTTGCTATTTGATGTAAGATCCGCCTGGTGGATTTTATGGTTAAATTACTAAGAAGACGAAACAGATGGTAAATGATCAAAGAGATGTTTTCATATATGACTTGAAAGTTACACATCACTTGATAGGTATGCGAGGGGGCATAAACAACTTGGGGTTCGAAGGCCATATCAAAGGCAGTCTGCTTGTGTATGAAATTCTACGCCAATGGATGAGGCCCGTCCTACTACTTGTTGGCTGACGTTAAAATAGGATTGAGCAACTGCAAAGGGTTGCCGAGATCCCTCCATATGGAACCTTTACCTCACAATTTAGCCCGGGCACCCAACTTGAATTACCCCCTTCCGCATCTATAGATGTGGCTCTCTTCACTCTCGGAATGGATCCCGGATCACTCGGGGAGTGGAACAAACTAAGTCGGTTGATCCCAGTTTTGAGCAGTTTCTATGAAACAGTACTCGCATCGACGCAGAAAGGTCATTATGCGACCGGCACAGGTCTGGGCTGTCGACTTGCCCTGCAAAATTCAATGTATTTTTTCGAAAGCACGCTGCTCAGTGACCAAATACAGCATGATGATAATCGAATACCTGTCTTGCTACAGGCAACTATGATCATGGAACGATCGCATCATGCGACATCAGATGCCGAGGTGGCTGGACTTTCTGATGCCATTTCGTATTTGAAAGACCTCCTACAATCAACGGACCTCGATAACTGCTGGGTTCCATTGTCAGGTGCCTTGATTTGGTGTTTGGCTATTGGGGCACGCCGGTCTTTACCGGGTGCCATTCGAAAGTGGTTTGTGATGCAAACCGCGCGAGTTGGTTGTGCTATTGCAATGAATCGACCTCAGGCTGTAGTAAGATGTCTTCGCGTTGTACTGGAAGGGTTGGATGGGGCGGATGTCTGCCGACGGCAGGAATTTTCTTTGGATGATTTAATGTGAGGCGAAATGTGGGAATATTTTCTTCTGTGGATCTGGGAGCACCGAACACAGGGTGGATACTGATAATTCTTACGACTATTTGATGACCGAGTAGATAGGCGCAATAGGAATTGTTCTTTTAGAAGTTACATATAACCAGATTAGGCTTCACGTTAGAAATAGTCACAGCAGGCCTTGAATGTATGTCCAAGCAGCAAACTGTATCAACCAATGATGTGGTCCACAACTAAACCCGAGATCATGTGGCGAAATATCGGCAGTTTCGTATCGCCGAGCCCAAAGACATCCGACTCCGACGATGTGGGGAAGTCGGGGAGCGGGGCTTCCCCAGTTGCTGGACAGCCTGGCCCAGAGGCAACTTGAATGTGGAGAGAAATGGGAGAATAATTCAGTTGTTGCGTAATTTGGTGTCCAAATCATCATCGATATGGACTTCTATTCTTGTAAGTAGAGTGACTCGGAGTATACATTATACTATCAGAATATTAGCACGGCCCAAGTATTCCAAGGCTAGTATTACCATGCTTTTCTGGGACAGCGATTGGTTGGGTCAGGTATAGAATATAAAATGGGAAAGCCCCAGGAGCTGCAATTCAAGGCATGCAAGTCATCAATTCTTGACTGCTAATGATTTCCCCATCTCTCTAATATCTGCCTGGTCTATTGTGCATTGGCGGGTAAATTTTCAGACCTCAGAAAGAACGAAATCCAATGAGGCAAGCTTTTCTCCAAGGTTGGTCCACGGTGAAAATGTGGGGAGGTTGTGGGAGCGGCAATGATTTTTCCCGGCCTCGTCATATTGAGACAACTCCGCCAAATGCGACGGCACAAGAGCTCGAGAGTTCCAAAATTTAAAGATTCACTCTTCGCCGCTACATCCTAGCGCTTTCAAATCTTCTCTTTCTTTTTTCTGATTCCTCCTCATCTCCCCAAACTCTCCCCTTCCCCTTATCCACTTACCTCCGCACATATCCGTCGCAATGGCATCCTCACCCCAAGATTTGAGAGTCGCCATTCTGGGCGCAGGAATGGGCGGCTTGACTACTGCTCTCGCTTTGGCTCAGCGTGGCTTCAAGAATATCGATGTATATGAAAATGCGCACGATCTGGGCTTTGTTGGTGCCGGCATCCAGCTCGCCCCCAACATGGCACGAGTATTGGACAATCTTGGTGTATGGAAGCCCATTGAGGCCGAAGCCGTGAATATCTCTGAGACTTCCGTCCGAGGTGAGCATCATAGAATTGCAAAAAAAGCAACAGCAACAGTAAACTGCAAAGTCAAAATCTAACCAAATTTTGCAGAGGGCGCAACCGACAACGAGCTCGCACATGTGGATTTGAATTATATCGAAAAGACCTACGGCTACAAGCACATGGTTGGTCACCGCGCATCGCTGGCCGATGGGCTGTATCAAGGTTGCTTGAAGCAGCCTGCCATTAAGTTCCACTTCGCCGTTACTGCAGAGAGTGTCGACTCGTTCGGCCCCAAGCCTTCGTTCACCGCGGTGCCCCGCGATGATACCCAAAAGCCGTTTAAGGTTGAGTGTGATGTTCTCCTTTCTGCGGACGGTATCAAGAGTCAAACCCGCGTGGAGATTCTCAAGCGCTTGAACGTCGATGTCGGTGTCAAGGATACCAACCAAGCCGCCTACCGAATCATGATCCACAAAGACCAGATCAAAGATGACCCCGAGCTACTTGCTCTGATTAATAACACCCGCGTGACTCGCTGGATTGGTGAGAAGCGTCATATCATCGCCTACGCTGTTTCCAACAATACCATCTACAACCTGTCCACCACCCAACCCGACACTAACTTTGCTGCTGCAACCAATGCCACCTACACCACCAAGGGTGACAAGAAAGCCATGCTGGGCGTCTTCTCCGATTTCTGCCCGATGGTGCAGCGTATGCTGAACTACGTTCCTGAGGGAGAGGTCTGTGAGTGGAAGCTGCGTGTCCACGATGCCCTCCCTACCTGGGTCCATGAGCAGGTTGCTCTGGTTGGCGATGCGTGCCACCCAACTCTGCCTCATCTTGCCCAGGGTGCCGCCCAGGCCATTGAGGACGGTGCTGTTCTAGCTGTCGTTCTCGCTCGTCTCCCAGATACCACCCCCGCATCCATCAACAAGGCACTTCGTGTCTACGAGAAGGTCCGTAAGGGCCGTGCTGAGGCTCTGGTCGATATGGCTTCTGCCTCCGGTCGTGCTCTGCACTTGGGTGATGGTGCCGCAAAGGCTGAACGCGATCGTCAATTCGCTGCTCTTCGTTCTGGCGGTGGCAAGGGTCCTGTCCCTGACAAGTGGGCTGATGCTGATGTCCAGCGTGAGATTTATGGTTTCGACTGCACCAAGGTTGCGGAGGATAACTTTGAGGAGTACTTTTCGCAGCTGTAAGCGCTTCCTTCTTTTCCTTTGGGGTATTTCTGGGGATGTCCGTGGTCCACTTTGCAATTCCTTTTGAATTGCATACTTCTCATGTATATCTACGACTCTTGCACAAATCAAAACACCATGACTCTTCATTTCATATCACTGAGACCAAGACATTCAATTTACTAAGCTTGTTTGCATTTAGGAGTAGCACGGACGGTACTCAGGCACGGCTATAGCCTGAGCATAAACTCAAGAGGATGCGATTATTATGGGAGGTATATTTCAACCACCCCTACTCCAGGGCTTCTACTGGAAATAGGAGATTTTAAGTAGCGCTTTTATGATATTGTACATATATAGTAGTCTATTACTATCATGCATTCATATACATCTATCTGTGAATTATTAGATATATTATGATAGTAGTAGTTATGCAGATGTAGTAAGTAGTACTGGTTGTAGTACTGCGGGATGCCCCGCTAATTCTCCAACTTCCCCCAACTTCAACTTCAACTCCAACTTCCTCCAATCTCCATCTCCATCCCAATCCGCGACAAGCTGCCTCGAGCTCAGCCTTCAAGGCACAAGGCAATGCTTTCCACTCCAATCCCGATTGCATTTGGATAGATGCCTTTCCCAGGAGTAAGTTGATTCCGCTCTGTTCTTCTTCGCAGCGCTGACACATCTTGATTAGACCCCGTCTCCATTTCGCCTGTCTCGCCGCCAACCATCGACACGCAGAGGCGCCGGCCCTCAATTCTCAAACTCCCCTCGATTTCTCCTTTCTCAGTCAACACCGAAGAAGCATAATGACCTGGAGATCGACGACGAGGGCGACAATGATGCGCCGGCTTCAACCGCCAGAGCTTCCCGAACCCCGGCTCCGTCGCGTAACTCTCTTCCCCAGCCACATCGGCAGCGAGACGTGATTGAAGACTCCGATGATGACGAGGCATACACAGAGGAAGGAATTCTCCGATCTGAACGCGATAGAGAAGATGCGGTGGATGATGCTATCAATAGCACGCCCCCGGGTGAACCTGCTACACCTGGACCTCTTGACCTGGAATTCGACGCAGTCTTTGCGCCAGAAAGGGATGGCAAGAAACGACGACGACTGGAGACAAACGAAAGGCTTTCACTGGGTCAAAAATTAGCACAGCAAGGTGCACTACCTCCGCTATCGCCTGAATCGCGGCCGCGACCTTCGATTTCACTCGATTCTCCTGCTCCCCAACCAACACCCAGTGCAATGCCCCGAGAAATCGCCTTACAAGGGACGCCCGCTCCCCGAACCAAATTCATTGGCCCAGGGATATCAACGCCAGGTACGAGCAACACGCCATTTCGCAGCAAGCCCCGGTTTATGCTCTCGACGAAGAAACCACCGAACACGCAGCCTACATTCCGAGGCGAGACACCATTCGCTTCTCAGCCGGGCTCGCCGCCAGAAAGACGTAGACCGACCTTCATCCTTCCCCGCTCTCCATCGCCTTCTGCAGCAGCGGAATATATCCCGGCCCCATTTTCTCCTTCCTCGCGCGCACTGCGTCGTCGCGGTCGACCTCGCGCGGGTGCCGAGACTTATGCGCCGGGCGGGATGGCCGCGGAAGTTCGCAGCTGGATTCTAGAAATGGGATCCAAGCGTGATGCAATTTCGGCTCCAACCTTGCAACCAAGCCAGGCCCGTGACATGAGGCGGTATCTGCTGGCTGCCCGTGTTATACATGCGAACCAGACAGTTCTTAGTAGCTCCGGACCCTTGGCTTTTATCCAAGCCGAGAAGATAGTAGATGGATCCCAGTCGGAAAGAGATGAACGAGAAATTATTCATATTATGACAATGGGACTACCGCGATCTAAACCGCCGTCGCGTGGAATTGATCAGCGCGCTGAAACCGCTCAGGCTGTCATACAGACGGGTGATCTGCTGGGTATACATAAGGGCCTTGCTTGGAATCTTGAACTTCATGGGTTCCAGCAATTGAGTTCTTTGCCGTATCCCGTCGAAATGCCTGGGTCACTTTCCTTGGAAAGTGGTGCAAGCAGTTCTTTTAAAAAGGAGTGGCTTATTGCTATGGAGTGGGATATTCTCGAGGCCTAATCACCATCTCATATTCGTATCATTCCTTGCTGGCGATAAATGCTGGCGATAAATTTGAATTATCCGTAATAGGGCCATGTCAACAAGGATATCGAAGGATTTCAACTGCTTTTGTGACTGTCGCGTGCTTGACATGTGACAATATCCTATCGCAGTACCTGTTAATTCGTACTCGTACTAGTCAACTACCAAGTACATCTGGGCAACGCCTGAGACCTGGGAATTCGTGATAATGCAGGTAGCACATGCATTGTCTCCGATGTTGTCAGACACGTCACCCCACCACTGACAGCCCAGCATGAAACGGCGATCTTTTCTCTGAGTTCCAGAGGAAAGAAATACCCTGAAGCTGAAGCTGAAGCAAAAGAAAAGCCAGAAAGATGCTGAATATCGAACACGAAGTATTAGAGAAGCGAAGTATTCGCATTCTCGCCGTGCCACCCAGTTCACCGACTCTCCTGGGCCTCCCAGCTGAACTTCAGCTGCATATCATCTCGCATCTCGACTACCCCTCATCGTTGGCACTATCGCAAACAAATAAACAACTCCATTGCATCGTCCCAGTGCAATCGCCTCGAACATCAGCGCAGAAAATGGCATTTTTGAATGCGGTGGAGACATGGCAAAGGTAAGACAAACCAGTACTACACAGCTACGTGTACGCTACAACTTGAAGCCATTCATAAATTAATATATTGATTGATCAACCCCGCAGAAACAATACCAAGTTCGGCTGCAAATATTGTCTAAAGCTCCGACCAAGCCACACATTCGCCGACAACCAACTAAATGGTAAACGAGGGAAAGGAGGTCCAGAATGCGATCGCCGAGTCTGTCTAGATTGCGGCTTTCGCAAACGAATTTACCAACCAGGACAGCCAATCGTTGTGAATGGTCGGGAACAGATTCTCTGTTCGCTTTGTGAGGAGAGAAGACGGTATGGATTATATTGTATGCTTTGCTGGCGGTGCGAGAATTGCTTTGTCAAGTATAATATGCCCAAGGTCCCATTTCATACCAGTATGGAGCAGTATATCAGACAACACGGATGTCCGCGCTGTTCGCATCATCTGGAAGATTTGGGGAGTCCGGATTTGGAATCGAGGGTTTCGTTTGAAGAGGTTTTGTTGCAGATGAAGATGGCGAGGTCGGAGAAGGATTTTGGAGAGGTGGCTACTCCTTCAAGTTGGTATGAGGATTATCGCTGAGAGAGTTCAGTGACGAGTTAAGAAGCGAACAAGGGCTGCATGGCGTTAATCAGGTACACCAACTTCCAACTTGAAGGCAAGGTTGGAAGCATTATTGATAACTTGAATTGAATATGTTCAACTTTTTGATTATGTGCATAATCTGGGTATATTCTAGATGCAGATAAATAATACAGGACAAAATACCTCCTCGTATGCAATCATTAATCCTTGACAGCCTTGAGTGCGTCCACGGCGACATTGCATCCCCAGCGGATCATTTTCTCATCCTTTTCAGTCACAATATCGCTCTTGGCGACAACCTTGCGGATAAAGAAGATCAGGCCCTTAGCGATATGAGGCGTATCCTGAACGCGCAGGAAGATTTGCATCAATGACTCCTCGTCTCTGTTCGACTCTTCCGAGACATCCTTGTTTGCCTTCTTCTTCTTGTTGGCCTTCTTGGTCTTTTGCGATTGTTGGATGATGCTGATGAGCAAGATCTCCACGAATGTTTTGGTCTTGGGTTGCAGATAGGCGAAGTTAAGGTTCTTGAGAACGCTCAGCGTCAGGCTTCCATCCGCAATAAGCATACCAAACATCTTAGCCAAGTTGACGACAGACTTCATGCTGACACCATTTTCCTGGTCATCTGGGTCAAAGTTATCCTCATCTTCGTCATCTCCTCGCTCACCCATCCGCTTGAAGACGTTCCAGAGGGCAAACATGAAGGACATCTTGATACGTCGGCCCATATCTCCGCAGAGCCGCCGGGAGATAAGGGTATAGTAAGGATTATGTACCTCCTCTTCCATGGCACAGTGGATCAGCACACGAGAAATTTCAAATTCTTGTGCACGCTTCAGGCGAAGCTTCATTAGGCGAACATGGGCATCTTGGAAATCGTTCGCAGACATGATGGCCACGAAAATTGATCGGCGAACATCAGTATTCATGCGGTGTGCTTTGGCGAGATCTCCCAGGTCAGGCTCAGCTTCGCTGTCGTCATCCGCCACCGCAGTGTCGTTTCGTGTTTGAACACCAACAAGCTCCTGTCGCGCAGACACCAACGGATCTTCTCTCCAGCTTGCGCCGACCAACCACCATTTGCCCTTCTTGGAAGAATCATGAATGTCGGCACGGGTAATGTTGATGGGTTCGGAGGCGCGGATCACGCGAGAGTTGTTCATTGATCCCAGGATCTTGCGCATCTTGGTGATATGCTCGGATGTAATGGAGGCACCGATACCGGATTTGACGCGGTTGTTCTTCAGATCGGTAATCGTCTCAATCATGAACTTTGTTCGCACAGACAGACTAGATTCGCCAGCCTTTGCCACTGCTGGTTGAATGAGCAGGACAATGTCCTTCAGAGCAGACGGGTCGTCTTGCCGAAGCTGGGGACCACAATCTAAGGACAGTTTAGTAAAGACAATATTGGATGCCCGGTGGTGAGGAGATACTTACTGCGAATGACCTTGAGCAGTAGCTCGGTGTTGCTCTCCGTGATTTCCTTTAGAAAGAGACGAATGTAGTCGAAGATCAGCGGGCTTCCGATGACATGGAAGTTGTAGAGTTGGGCAAGAAGGGAGACAAGATTCATGCTCTCTTTGCCTTCGAAGCCGCCCCGCTCGTCGCCTTCAGCATCCAATGTCTCCACAATCCTTTGCACAATCTCCGCACCAAAATCCATGCCCATGACCTTGTAGAGAGAAAGCGATGAAACCCGCATGAAGAACCAGGAAGGTGTCCTGGAGTACGGACCTCTCGCAGATCAAACCCATCAACAGATCAATGATTGTTGAAGTGACATGTTGACGTGGATAATCACGGTAGAGCTTCTCAAATTCAGCGAGAATAGAGATCAAGTTGGCCTCGGAAAGCTTGTTCAGGTGTCCTTGGGCCTGTCGCTTGAGCCTTGTGAGGGATTCAGTTTCAGGGTCCTGGCGCGCACGCAGTGAAGGTGGGATGTATTTCTGGCCCGGTGTGACCTCTTTCTTGGTTGGGGGCGCAATGTATGGGTTTTCACGCTGTTTGGGAGGGGCTTTCTCCTCAGGGTCGAAACCGTCGAATTCACTGCCGTCGTCCGAGCCAAACACTTCCTCATCGAGATCCACCTCTAATTCACTGTCACTTTCGTCGCCCTCTTCGTCAATCTCCATAGCTGCTGCTTGCCGTTCCTGGGCCTTTTGTCTTTTACTTTGCAACCAATCGTCTGCTTCACGTTTGCGCTTCTTGCTGTCGTCTTCCGAATCCTCCGCTAAGTTACCCATCAAATCGTCCAATCCGTCCTCCGCGAATGCCTTGGGTAGTTTTTTGCCCTTTTTTAGACCCAGTTTCTTTTCCAAAGCTGCAATTTCCGCATCGTCCTGATCTAGCTTTGATTTGACAGTTGATGAAACATGTCCACGGTCGAGGATATCATCGTCCGCATCGCTTTCAAGTTCCTCTTGGGAATTATCGGATTCATTTTCGTCTGTATCCTCATCGAGATAGTTTGGTTCGCTATCGTCGGATTCGGTCTCTTCCGCCTTGTTCAATCTGGGCGCTGCCTTTTGCTTGACCCCGGGTGCCTTGGAGGCAGCTTTGGATTTGACTTTCGGCGCATCCTCGACCTGGTCGAGATCGTCCTTACCATCCTTTTTGCTGTCCTTCTTCTGCGAATGCTGATTCTGGGTTCGGACCGGCGGGGCTGGTGTTCTTCTCGACTTCTTCTCCGTTCGCTCTGCTTGTCTTCGTTCTTTTCGTGAGCTAGGACCGTTCTGTTTTCGCTTCTTTTCGCCGTAAGTGTCCCTGATCCCCAGCTCCGATCGCAGATCGCGAGGGAGCGAGGTGGTATTGTGCATTGGACGTGGCATGGTTGTGGAGGTTGAGTGGTCTTTCCTCCAGGTCTTTCTCAGTCTTCAACTTTCTCAGTCCATCGCGGGCGGTGGCAGATCCACTTTTTCTGCCAGGCGGTGACCCACCCCCACGACACTTGGCGACTCGCGGAGTGTCCATCGTGACTGCGCAAGCTAACTTGAACCACTTCCTTTTCTGCAACATTGAATCTCGTTATGGCACCTCACCTTCAAACCGATGAGGTAATTCCTCCTTCCCGCTTCTGACCCCCTCCTATCACCGGGGAATTTGGCTCCACACCACAATTCCACATTATCACCGGACACAAAGACCACCGCACCGCTCCATTGACCATGTATCACTAACATTGAATATGTCTAGTTCTTCTCATCCCTCACCGACCTTCTCGCAAAAACCACCCAAAAATCGCGAGGCTCCGTCACTCTCTCCCAGAAACCCCTAATCGATAATATCACAACCACCCAGCCCTCCATCCTAATCCGTGCCACCGATGGAAACACAAGCGCCCCACGAACCATGAAAGATGGCAAAGTTGTCAAGGCCAAGGCCTCAAAGGCTACCCGAGTCAAGTTCTCCACAGTCGTTCCTGCAGACCAACTCGAAGCTTTCTACACCCGGTACGCGGAGATCTGCAAGACGGGCATGACTGGCCTGAAGAAGCGGGATCGCAAGCGCAAGGCGAAGGGCAAGGGTGGTGCGAAGGCTGCGAAGGCTTAGGCTCTTCTGCATTGATACCCACTTTCCTCTTTACGATGGCGCCCAGCGGCGGTTTGTTCTTGTACTCGGCTTAGTTCAACATTCCGGCGATGGCTTTCGCTCTTTCTTGCATCTGCTCGGCGTTTTTTTAATGGTGGCTCTTATTTAAAAGAAAAAGCCCTTTGATCTGATATGGTTACTCATGACCTTGTTTTCAAGGTGTACATACTTTTCTATGCACCAATGTACCTAACGATTCGTTTGAAGTTGGTTTCTTTTCACTCATCCATTTATGCATGGTGTAGTTGTATTGGTTGTGTTATTGCACAGTGAGGATTTACTATCTTACTATCTATCCCACATTAAGTGCGAACTGACCCTAACCTGCCTCGAAATGAAACATCCACTTGGTTCCTTCGTACTCCTCCCTTGGCTTGACGTTGACAGGGAACTCGCCCTTCACGGGACTCATGTTGGAGCTGATTGCCCCCCGTGTTGATTGAGGGAGCCTTCCAGATACCGCCAACAGGATTGATATCGTATCGCAATGCCATCATGGCCGTAACTCCCAACACCTCCGTGCTGGCGAAATGGCGTCGGGGGCAAATGACAGGCGCAATACCGAATGCAGTGAATCCACCCGTACGACGAGGTTCTTTCGAGTTGGCCCCTTTGCCGGATCAGCCTTCAGGAATCGCCGCGGGTCAAACACCCCGGCGCTATCTCCCCATACATCAGCACGCTTCCTGATGGCACTCGCTGGGATTGAGACCAAACCTCCTTTTTTGAGAAGATACTTGTCACCGAGCATCGTGTCCTCGATAATGTGGCGAAGCGTAATTGTAGTTGTGCGGAAACGTAAAACTTCCTGTAAGAAGGACAGGGCGAAGGGACAGTGCTCCTTGAGAGCCGTGATGTTAATTGTGTGCGTGCCATCCTCCGAGATGGACAGTGCGTTGAGTTTGATTTCAGATCGAAATTCAGCGAGAACTTGCGGATTGGAAAACAGCTCGAAAATAGCCCAAAACACTGCCGGCACGGTACTCGACAGGAAGGCAAATAGGACAGGCGCTTCTAGCTTCGAGAAATATTCCAAACACATACCCTGTTTTATCGACTTGTTGTATCTCATTTTGGCCAATGCGGATCCCTCTTCGATGCCATGCTTCTTGTAATAGGCAGAGAAAGCACGAGACACCTTTCTGCGGCCCTTCTAGGCCTTGCGTGCTGTTAGCCATTGTAGGAAGTTGGACAGCAAGGAGTTCAAATTGTTCTCGAAATCCCGGTTGAAGAATTGTTGTTAGCACCGTGTCATCGACACGTTGCACCCTCGTTATCTGGGAACATACCAAAATCCATTGACAACCTCGGGGTCATTGTAGGGGTTGTTGAGCAGTCCATACGTTGCTCTGGTACTCGAAACAGTGATCATATTCCGTACCCAACCATACAAATGGAGACTGGGAGTGTCTTTCAGTTTGTCGAAATATGTCTTCACATTCTGCATCGTGATCATGACCATTTGGTCCAACGCATCTTCGACTAGATTCGGGGCCATCGAGTAAATCGGGAGCGACAGGACCCTGCGGAACAAGCAAGGGTCACACTATTTGGCGAAATTCGCTTAGACAATGATTCTTTACTCTACTCCATAGTGGTTCCCTTTTTTTCAGAGCGCCAAGCTATTTAGGTGCCGGAGTTTCCGCATGAAATCCCGAATATTGAACTAAGCAAAGACTAAATCTACTTGTTTCACCTTGTAAAACTTTTTTTTTTCATCAGTGCGACGCGCATTCAGTTGGAAGGCTCCTCATTCATCTGTCCCTCTAGTCTCTTCCTTTGACGTTTTTTTTCTACAAATTGAATTTCAAAATGGCACAGTCGGCATCAGACGCGTCTTGGCCAGCGGGCATTCCCGAGATCCACCTTCATCCGACAGATTTACCCTCAGATGAGCTCCCGGAAGAAGCCAAGGGATGGCTGCTATTCGTAAAGGTAGGGAGTCCTTGAAATGCTCTCGTATAAGCATTTGTAATATTAACTGGTACATAACTGCAGGAAGAATACCAACCAGTCTCAACCCCAGAAGAGGGGCTGCGTCAACGGCGAGCCCTAATTGAGAAATGGGCTACCGCCAGTCAGGAATTCCGCGAGGTGCGTACAGCCAATGCTGAATTCACCTTTCTTCAGGTCTAATTATTATTTGCAGTCTTACCATAGCTGTGCCCCAGCATGTACCTCAGCTCGCGACTACCCGGCTTCATTACTCTCGCAGCAAGCCCCACGACCTGACAAGAGGTTCCTTTGTCTACCACTAGTAGACTCACAGACTCACCCCGGAACTACATTTATCTTGTAAAGCTCCTGATTATGATGTATATCCATCAAGATGAATGGAACGGGCAGCATCCCTTTGACCAGGCGGGGCCGGGCCATGCACCGCGCAGCCATATCCCGGAGTTTCTCAACCTCGCGACACCTATCGCGCTTAGCGATATTCTCTCTGAGCTGTACCTTTCCTCAGCGGATTTCCACGCTCTCTCGATGACCCGGAGTGGCACGGTAGTGTTCGCCGATGGGCCAGACTACACGTGGTATGTGATCGAAGAGCCGGAGCTTGCCACAGGGCGAATGACGATAGCCGAGTTTGGCTCTGACGGCAGTGTCCGCGATTCGATTGTTCGTCGAGCCTGGAATATGGGTCAGGTAATGGCCTTTGGTCAGAGTTTGGGCCGGCGTGTCGCGGATTTGGAAGAGTCGTGTATTGGGGGCCCGCCGCAGTATAACGAGCCGTAAGTTCTTTTCCATGTGCAGTTTCCAACGTGAATTTTCTAATGGGAATAGATTGAACATGGACCGTCCTATTATTGAGCTCTTGGAGGCAACGAGAATGGACAGCAAGTTTCTCTATGAGGGATTCGGTTATATGGACCTGTGGGTGCGCCTTATTGAGCAGAATGCACCTGGGTATCTGGACCTTGAGGCTCAGGGGCGGGAGGTGGAATTTAAGCTTGACAATCTGCGTAATGTTGGCATTGATACTCTCTAAGGTGATGTCCTGCGGTAGTTGGTCCTGACAGGTATTGTATCTGACCATTCCATCTTCGAGCATTCAGCACCCAGTCCCAGGTCCCCCTCATGCGTATTACTGACCATGCGCAGTGTCCGCTCATTATTGATGCCGCTGAATATCTGGATGCTGACTCTGTTGATAGGATCAAACGTGAGAGTCTTCTGATTGCGCTGCATCAAACGGATGATCTCGGTCGAAGAAACGAGATACACCTTCGTGAACAGCAAGTTTAAGGCGAAGATCCCATGTGTTGGGTTCTTATTGCTATGGAGATAGATGGTCAGCAAAATTATTCCATCCACATTGGTTTGGAAGGTAATGCTTGAAACTTTAGCAAAGACTCACGCAGTTTTATCCCAGTACGGAAGACCTTCAAATATCATCCCGAGTAGATGACCGGTCATTGGAATCTTGCTCGGTAGTAAGGGTGGCTCACGGGGATCATGCTGCAGTCTGAGTCCTCGGAATACCATGAGACCCAGCATCGCAACAGCCCCCAGAATGGGGAGATGAATTGGCTCGAGCATGGTCTTTCAACTCAGTGTGATTTCTCACAGCCTTGAAATATCTGATTTCGATGGAGATATGATCTGAAGCCGCTGTGACAAAATAATACTGATGAGAAAGCACTGCAAAGGGAAGAAACCGGAGAAGAGGACAGTAATGGAGAAAGACCAAATGAGGGCTGTTCTGAAGTATACTTCCTGTACAAACAATTAAGCGCCGGTGCCTGAGACATTGAGAGCGATGATTGGTGGGGAGTAAAGTGGGCCCGGGCAGCAGCGGACGCCGGGGCGGACTTCGGGGCGGACTTTAGTAAGTAGGATACAAAATGATAAATATGCTCTACTCTTGAAGTCCCTGGGTCGCTCTTATTTATACTGTTGATTCACGTTTATTCACATTTTGTTTGGCTTTTGTTAATATCGTCGTATGCTCCTCTTTCGGATTCTTCCTTTCTTTTGTTTTCTTGCCACGATGACGGATCAAAAGGAGGAAGGGCAGACGACGAGCTGCCAGATCCAGCTGGGAAAATATCTAGAGTCTTAGCACCGCACGGAAGAAGCGTTGTAAAAAAGAATAATTCGTTTCATTTCGATGCTGCAGTCCAACAACAGCCATGGCATGACCGAAGTACCTCCGAATGATAATTATATGCGACGCTAGAATACAGAATCATCCCAGGTTTCCACATGTTCCCATAATTTCACGCGTTCGAGATGCAAGGTAGAGTAGGGCAGGGTAGGGTAAATAAAGTCATAAATATAAAGCATAGTGTCACATGAAAATGGTTGGGGGTTGGGCATTAAAAAGGAGGAATATGATCAAGAATTAAAACCGGGGAATAAAAAGGAGGAATGATTATACAGGGTGGGGGTGAATAGTAGGACTAGTCCAGATCCCAAGGATCCAGCTTCCTGTTGATTTCCGCGTCCTCGTATTCGGAAGAGGATTCGCGATCGAGCGGAAAGCTGAAATCATCCTCGGTGATTGTTTGTTTTCCGGATGATGTTGAGCCTCGTCTGGAGTCGCCTAGAGTCGCGTTGATTGCAGGGTTGATCACAATGCGCGCTGCCACATGCAGGAGGACGATGAAAAGAGCCACTGGAGGTACCAGAACAAGAGTCAGGGCTTTGGAAATAAAAGACGAAGCCTCGTCCCCTGCCCTTGGTTGGTAGATGGCGGACGAGGGAGGCATTGGGGAGACATCGCGCTCTCGGGTTGCCTTTTGCTCGACGGCGGAACTCGGTGCTCATGTGATCAAAGTCGGTTGGAGGCGAAGCCTTCACAGCGAATGCAGAGGTAGGCTTTGTGGTGGAGGGAATAGCCAAAGAAGATTTCGGCGGGTCGTTACACGGAGAAGACACTGCAGCCAGGGGGTGTGGCTTCAGGACGGGGACATCAGTGACAGGAGGGGAACTTCGGCTTGAAGAACCATCGACTTGTGGTGCAAATCCATGTGTGACTGGATTGGACGAGATCCTCTTGGGCTGTGTGGGAGCTTCATTTTCCTTCTTCCAATGATGAATGTCCGGCATTGGTACATCCATCGAGGGCGTATGCGTTGAAACAGAATCGGAGGGTGATGATGGGTCTACTGAATGGAAAGACTCCGGCGTGGATGAGAATGAACTGTCGTGATCGAGGTCGGCTTCTATTTCTGGCTCCGGTTCAGACGCAGGTATGGATATTGGCTCAGCCTTTGCAACAGGTTTAGGTACACGCGCGGGTGTAGTATCGCATTCTGATGCCGTTTCTGTTCCAGGTATCTGCACAGGAATATGTTCTGGCTCCAGATCGGCTATTTCTCCAGACGTCATTATAGGCGCATTTATAGGCGAAGGCGCAGAATTGGGTTCTAAATGAGATTGTGATACTGCCTCCTTCTCATCGGACTCCAGGGTGATAGATGGCTCTTCAGGACTCTCGTTCTCAGGCGGAGTGGAATCTGAAACGATAATGGGGGCAGATTCATGCCCTTTGTCGGCGCTGGCAACTTCGGGAGTTTTTAGCGCAGAAGCGGATGCCTTGTTGTCAGTCACTTCTAGTTCGGTCTCGTCTTTAGATGTGGTCCGAATCTCAGGTTCCTCTTGGACCACAGGCTCCCTTTTGACCACAGGCTCCTCTTTGACCACAGGCTCCTCTTTGACCACAGGCTCCTCTTTGACCTCAGGTTCCGAGGCGGCCGTAGGTGTTGCTTGAGATTCTGGTACGGCAGGGTGCGGCTGCTCGGGAGTGGCAGTGCTGGCAGTGGATTCTAACTGTGCAATAGATTCCGTCACACTTTGTGTTTCAGGCGCAAAAATGAATGCTTGTTTTGCACCAGCTGCATCAACCTGGGAATCGATGGCAGGCCGCGGGGCAAGGTCAACCTTGACCTGTGGGATGGAAATAGGCTCATCCTGACCCACGGTACTTGATTTTTCCTGCCCCATGGGCGTGGCTTCCGGAGTTTCACCTTCTTCGGGGACCGGGGCGGCGTCAAATTTGGCGAGGAGGCTGGAGAATGTCTGGGGAGTTTCGGTAGCCGATCGTCTAATGGGCTTTGGTGGGGACGGAAATTCGATATTGTCGAGGGGAGACGGCGGCTGGTCAGTGTTTGGAAGAGCATCAGATGCCGAGCTATTACTTTTCTGGGGGGGCTAATGCGCAGTCGTCTGTTGTACCTCCATCCGTGTCCTCTCCGGTACTAGCGGAGTCTAGCCATTCTGATCGCGTTTCCGAGGGTGACCCCCCTTGACTGCTCCCCGAGGCAGGATACAGACTATCCTTTCGCTCTTTGGGTCGCCAGGCCCTTTTGCGCCGCGGTGCCATCGCATCCTCGGGTAGTTCCACGGTGAATGCGCGCTTGAAAGGACAAGGCGTCACTTCATACCGAAGAATGGTTGGTAGCGCGACCTTCAGATCCCCAACTAACCTCTTGTCCTCTTCTGTCTCGTGTGGTATTTCGATGCGATAGTAGGTGAGCGGGCGAATGCGCAGCACGAATTTGGACACGCCATCCACACACCAACACTGGGAGTTCTTCAGGATCGCGTGGACGACATTTCCACACTTCAGGAACGCGGTCAATCCATGGACACGTTCGAGTCGAAGCGGCGCTGTTGCGACCGTTCGTTCAGTCGCCGAACGCCATGGGAGTGATTCGATGGTATCAACGGGGTAGTCGAAATCGGCGGGCGCGGAACTGGACGGGATCGGGGCGAGGGCCCGGGGCGCGAAATGAACGATCTTCGCGGAGGGATGATAGAAGATGACGTTTTCCGATAGTTTTGCTGGCGGCGCCGAACCACGTTGCGACAGTGGGTTTAACTTCGTGGGGAGAGTGAAAGAACGGCGGATGGATGGTGTTTGACCCACGGGCTCGCGCAGAGACTCGGACATCATCGCCGGGTGGGTTTGACGGGATATTTATAGGGTCATGAGGAGTGGAAATCACTTGGGATGCATGGCGCGCCTCTGTGATTCGGGTATGCAGCAGCAGGGGGCAAGTTGGGGTTGAGACGGCGGCTGAGGCAGCGGCAGCAACAGCTTATCGCAAGTGGTCCCCCCGGGTTCGCGTGTGCTTCCCAATGAACTCGCTGCAGGCCTGCGGGGGGCATGTGATTTGCGCCTCAGGCATAAATGATGATCATGTGATCTGGTGTCGCTCGTGTCACGTGATGCCGTTTTCAATGGCGCCTGAAACAAGGAAACAAGTCACGCTGTTAACTCTTACATATCTATACAATATCGTCCTTGCTTTGCCAAATTTCATTCTACTGGAGGGTATTTGGGCCACTGTCGTATTTGGACACCCAAGAAAGCACCCCTGGCAATGTCCAATTTCGAGCCCAATGCCGTCATCCGCGGCTTCCAGCTTGTGGTGGTTGGAAGTATGTCTTTCAATGTTCCCTGTTAGTCTGGTTGGCTATTCTAGAAGCTAACCAATTTCTAATACAGCTGTTCGAGCTTTGACGAACCCGGAGCTCTTCAAATATGAACACTTCCGCCAGGCTGCCCTGGCCGTGGCAGTTGGAGTGGCCATTCAGCTTATCGTTCAAATCCCGGTATGACGCGGCCTCGTTCCTCTATCACAGCTTTTGATCACTGATGTGAGATGCCTAGATCCTAACCGTCAAATTTTCCGTCTACATGGTCTCTTTTCTGGTTAACCTCAATCAAGTAACATGGGACAACAAGCTCTTAAACGCCCTGGAGTTCATTTCAAAGTCTGTTCTTCAAGTGCCTTTCTTGTTGATGACTCTGATGGGATATCTGACCCCGACTCTTGACGAAATGTAAGCCATCGTTGCCATTTGACCCACCCGACTAGTACTAATAGACCTCAAGCTTCATGCAATCGATCTATTGGGTAGACAGGACATACATCCAAAAGCACAAGTCCGAGAACCCCGACACGCTGCGCGCCATGTACTATCCCAATCTGGTTATGTACCCAACCAAAGGCGGCTCCGGTGGCTCGGCGCCGAAAGCGGAGGCTTTGTTAGCTTTTTTCAACCGCTACGCCAAGAGGGTAGGTATTCTCGTCGGTGTATACCTTATCTCCTGCCTCCCTTATATCGGTCGATATGTTCTGCCGGCAGCAAGTTATTACACCTTCACCAAGCATGTCGGGTCTATGCCCGCCACGGTCATTTTCTGCGTCGGCCTCGTTCTACCCAAGGCATATCTCGTACGATTCCTGCATACCTACTTCGCATCCCGCAGCCTGATGCGAGAACTGGTGAGTTTTCCTTATCTCACTTGCACAATCTCATGATCCGTCGTCTAATTAACCCACAGCTCCAACCCTACTTCCGCCGCGTCAAATTCACCCCCGAACAAAAGCAACGCTGGTTCAGAGATCGCGAGGGCGTGCTCTTCGGCTTTGCTTTTGGCTTCACCGTGATTCTGAAAACTCCATTCATTGGCGTCCTCATGTATGGTGTTGCTGAAGCATCTACTGCGTATCTCGTCACCAAGATTACCGACCCACCCCCACCACCTGCGAGTAGCGAGGGGTTTGCAGAGAGTCAGGTCACCTGGGCAAACAAGCATGACTTCCTTCAATTATCTCTTGACAAAATTGATAACCTCAATGTCGCCAGTGATGAGAAAGATGGTACGAATCCCAGTCCCCAAACAAAAAGTTCTCATAAAGGCTTGCTTTCATTTGAATTGGCTATCGTAACGTTCGGATCGCATTTCCGATGTCATGCATTCCCATGGATAATTCCTAGCTCTACCCTTCGGGTGCTACATCGCAGGACCGGCCAAGTACTTTACGCTTTACCTCTTCCATATGCCTAAGAAATGCAGGGGAAATGACTCAAGGCCAGGGCTGGATGACAAGTGAAGCAGATGATATCGGTTTCTTTCAACTATTTCTGTCCCAATTACTGCCCCCAAAGCCCTCTTAATTTTACGTTAGAGCCATGGAGGGAGCAGTAGTTAATCATGCTAGGAAAGCAAAAGGCCGAATCCATAAAGAACATAGGCATATTGGCAATAAATTTAGAAACATGATAACAAGGCCAGCATATTTAGACGAGGCTTGGCATCCATGGATTAAACTCCATTTGTAATAAAGATAAGCGGCCCGGGTAGCCTCGATGGCAAGCAACTCTACGCCCCATAACTACCCGCAATCGACCCAGTGTTTCAGCGACCCAAATTACTAGTACCAGTGTTTCCTATAAGGCTCTGCCAGCCATGAGTGAAGCTATCCTACCTTGACCTTAAAAGTTCAAAATACTGAGCATATTGGGTAGGATACTAATTAGGTTGGAAAGTGGTAAAATGTTTAACTTAGGCCCCACCCACAACAGGACGGCGTGGGTGGGCAGTGGAATTACCGGTGGACAGGAATTCCATAGATCTCATATTCCAGGTGTGAACTCGTACTACTATTAGTCTCATTTAGTGCGTAATTGACGAGATCCATGGATGGAACTGCGCGATTGTCCCATCAGAGTATACTTCTACCTAGTAGGGACTATACAATGGAATAGCATGGATGACTCGACCACTGGCGAATACTAATACCTAGGTACTAGTATTTGAAGTATTAGTATACAGTAACCCTGGGAGTCGAGAAAAGATTGCTACCAGCTAGAATGTTCTCTTGTAATCTTCCAAGGTATATACAATTTCAAATTAGATAATGTCACCACCTTCAAGCTGGTAGGTAATAGATTAAGGCAGAATCCGATTATCTATTATCCAAGTTACATGCCCAGACAAGCTTCACGATAGAGGTCATTAAAGGCAAACAGAATACCAGTCATAAAACGCCTCGCAGTTTTCCACTTACTCTTGCTATTAGTCTATCCCATTCTCCCATTCGAGACGTGGACTGAATAGGTCCTCCACAAATTAAAGAAAATAACGCCATTATCGATGGTGTGTGGCAGGAAGTTCGATTGGTCCTGGGTAAATAGCCTCGGATGGGGCTTCAGCCAGCTTGGGTTCTTGGTAAAGTTCTGCCATACGATGCGGACCTTGTGGCGAGTAATAGGATCTCGTAGAATTTTTTTGCTGCCATCGTCGCCGATTATACCATGTGGCGACGAGCGCGATCAAAGCACACGCAACCGCAGCTCCGATGACAGGCCCAGCAATCCATGCCCTTGAAGATCCTCCTTGCGATGAATTGCTACTCTGGTCTGCGGCCGCGGCCGCGGTCGCGGTTGCCGCCGTAGCCGATGGTCCTGAGCTCAACCCCGTGCTGGTCGCGGTTGAGTCTGTGGTGGTATCAGTCGAACCTGTGGTGGTGGTGGCGGTGGTGGTGGCCGGCGTCTGAAGGTCGGTTTCTTGCCATCGAATGAAAACCGCCTTGGCATTCAGTCCACCAGAGGTCGTCATGCTAGTTACCGTTCCCCCTTGGGTGAAAGTCCATACATGGTCCATCTTGGTGTCAGCCGAAAAGCATCGGTTGGTCGAGTACCACACCAAAAAATTATCTGCTTGGGCAGTGAAGCTTCTAGTTATAGCGACAATCATTAACGAAAGGATACATCAAAAGAGGTCCATCTTTGTATGTATTGAACTTACGATGGACAGCAGGTTGCCCGGGTTTCTGAACTAACTCCAATACTAAGAACCGACGACTTGGCTATGGAATAGCCCGATGGACACACGCCTGGCGAGTAGTAAAAATCGGTCGTTGCCTCATATCCGGAAGGGAAACAGGTCCTCCAGTTCGTCGGCCCCTGGCTGAGATACCATCCCTCGAGGGAATTTGAAATCGAAGTGGTGTAGTAGTACTCGCCTGTTACATACTCAATGTACCATGTGTCAGTGAAACAATCTGGTGGTGGTGAGAAGGTGGTGGTAAGGGCCAATGGAGTTGTAACTGTCATGATGGTAGTTGGAGTTATGAAATATTGAAAGATTCGCGAGAAGAAGAGAAACAAGAGCTTGCGAGGTGGGACAGCCTCGCTCTCGAAGCTTTAGCTCTTCGTTTTGATAGGCCAAAGATCATGAATCGATCGGTAGTGCCGTGCTAAGGATGCGCTTTGGTTACCTCGGACGATCCTGGCGCTCGACTGCGATATTTTGAGGAACGATGGCTCTCATTACCGCGAATGCTATATACTCGTTTATTCCATTTATCGGCCCTTTACTGGACCAACGCTCTAAGCATCAACGGAAGACCGATGGTTTCAAAATGAGTCCGAATGCTCGAACCAGCACGTAGTGATAATGGAAGCTAACACATCAAAAATAGGGGCGAAATTGTACAAAGTACATTAGAGGGGTTGGGAATTGGGGCCGAAACAACCTACGGAGTAGAGATGCCCACAAAAGGGGAAAATGTGGATAGCATCGACTTAACATCGCACTGATCGCGTGGGAAATAAAGATCGTCAATTGGCTCTCGTGGAATCCGTAGCTGTGGCGCTAGTGTTCACGTCTCCACGGTTTCCCGAAGACCTCCGGAGTAAAGCAACGATGATGCGAAAGATGCTTGGGGGGATCAAGAGAGTAGCTTGTTGCTTTATTGTCAATCCGGTAGAGTCATAGTGGGAGTCATAGTGGAGATACCTGGTTACAGTAATATTCGAAATCAAGATTTTCCTCTACGGAGTACACTCTTAGACTTTAATTCTCGAACCTGCATAATTTTGAAACACACTAGTCTAATAGTCTAATTTTAGCCATTCCACCAGGAATCTTGATCAGACTGTATTGTATTCCCTGGTAATAGTGAGTGGGTCATTGTTATAATACTATAATTTCCTTAGGATTTAATAGAATCTTTTATTGCTAGGTCGAAAGCGTTCAGAATGTGATTCTTAGTTATGAAATAATTTAGTATAAACAAGATGGTCGTTTGGGTGGTGTTTTTATTTGCCCTCAGCTGCTATTGTGTCCTTTTATCCGCCACAATACCTTCCCATAGGAAGCTTGGGGAACAGGTACACATTCAAAAAATCCACCAATTTCCACTCTTGCATTTACCATAAGTCTCATCATCCCAGTTCTGGGCTAGTATGCCCACTCGAGGGATCGTACTTCAGTGCATATGTCGTTCTCTCTCGTTCTCTCTGACTGTGAACATTGTATGAAAGAAGAGTGGGAGAAAAATTCTCAACTAATGGAACAGACGGGTATAATGATGTGGAGGAAAGGGCGCAAGAGGATTTAAAAGTCGAAGATAATATACAACAGGTAGAATTCATCGCTCGTGGGTTGCGTTCAGAATCATGCCCCTTCTTTTCCGATCCAATATCCTTGCATTTCCCAAACACGGCTGAGCGCAATCCTTCCCGCCAAATTCAGTGTCTGTTCCCAATATTTTTCATGAATGATAGCCATCTGTCCGTCAATGTCATTAATATTCGGCCAGTTCAGATACCATGAGAAATGTAATCTGCTCCATGGCATGGGTCCTTCTAATCGATGAATGTAATTTAGAAGATCTTGCTCAGGCCAACCATGTCCAAACATGTCAGGGTGGTCCAAAATCGAGAGGTAGAAGTTGTAAATCTCCTTGGATGGCGAGAACAACATGCAGCCGACATTAAAATAATGTTGTTTGCGTTCCAAATCCAAGAACGGATAGGCATGGTCTCTATCGAGGGATTCTGGCGTCGCGGCGAACATGAAAGTTTCAGGCAGAGGAGCAATTTCAGCATCAGGGCCTGTATAATTACGGTCAACAGGACTGAGCCGAGTACTCTCATCCTGAAAAATAGCATCGATTGGCCGCGTCAGCACCATATCCGTGTCCATCAGGAACACCTTTTCATATGGCATGAGTTCGGGATCAAATACCCGCAATTTAGTGAGCACCTGCGCATAGCGGGGCTCACCGATCGCAAAGTCCGCTGTCACTTCTTCAATTTCGACGACAGTGGCTCCGTCTATTTCAAGCCTCCTCCGCTTGCTTTCGCTAACATCTTTTGTTACCATAATTATCACCGGAATCGGCTCTGTTTTGACAGGATCCGTGAATCTGGTGGTGGGCGAGTGGAGGAGTTGGTATACAAGGGTCCGAGCTCCCACATAATACCAGTCCGCATCATCATTGTCGCCGTCCTCACCATGATAATCTGCCCCAAGAAACGCAGCGACGCAATAGGGACTCTTCGGGCGAGGTTTTTGAGGAGGGATTGCGATCGGGCTGGAGCTTGGAGGAGAGGAGGGTGGGCTTTCGTTCGAGGGCCCGCTGGAGATATCGTGCTGTGTCTTCGTTTGCGGCTCGGAAAGGGAGTTGAATGGGTGGTAAGTCGTATGAAGTAATAGCAGCAGGTAGAGACAGAGACTGGAGCCGAGCAAGATGAATAATTTCCTGAGTTGTGTCCTTGTCAGGAAATTCGAGGTGTTCACCATTCTGAGTACTACTCGTACTAGTATTCTTGGTGAGAGGCTGCCCGGGAGTTTGAACAGCAGTCAGCGAGTTTCCGGCGAAAAGCATTTACCTCGTAGTGCCGTGCGAAGATACAAGTACTACTGGTACGGAGTACATAATTAATTAATGCCGATCTCTGGGAACGGCTCCGCTCCGTAGCGGGTATACCATACCGATCCGACGGTTTCCCTTTAATTTTTTCCTTTTTCGCTACTAGATTTGATGCCAAGCGAGCATCTCAGGAAATGAAGATAGCCAGGGTGCATGAAAGGTGGAGCCTCCCGCAGAGACTGTGGTTCTATTGGTCTAAGAATAAGGCTAGTGCACCTTGGGCAGGCGGTAGTCTTGTTCCTTGTAGTCCTGTAACCTGTATTACCTCGGTATATAATACCACTCAGCTATACCGCCGCCAAGAGTTGAGAGCGAAGAGCAAGTACTAGTCCGTAATCTACTCCGTACTCCATACACCGTACAGAGTAGTACTCTATTCCCGTACGGGATAATGCCCCACTGGACAGCTCGGTCGGAGTTTCTACTTTCTTTTTCACCCCGACATTGTCACACTGGCAGAGGCTATGACGCGTTGACGCCGTGACGCCGATGCCCGCCTGCCGATCCCCGTGCCTCGAGGCCCACCGAGCCCACCGAGCCAAAAAGGCCAACGATTGAGTTCGCGCCCGCGATTCCCTCTCTCCTCTTCCTCGGCCTGCTTCCTGCTCTTTCGCGCGCTGGCCTCTTCCTAGGCCCTCCGCAATTTCGAGGTCGATTGCGCGCAGTATTATGCTGCCTACTGCCCGTCGAATACGACTGTGGTTGATGACCTTGTTCCGATCTTTACAAGCCGGCATCATGGCTATCCTCGAGTTTCCCCAGGCACGGCCCTGGGGCCAACACAACTACCAGCTTCTTGAGGGAGCTCGAGATAAATCATACTACTACTATTCTCGCACGACGAGGAGGACTAGGACCATGGCTTTTTTGGTAGCTGTGATTTTATTCATTTGGTTTATCCCGTTCCTACCGACAAACTTCAACCACATTGCCAATGAGCGTTTGTGCGATCATCCCATATCCATACTCGTATCCGATGCTGCGCAAGCATTCAATGAAACATTGACGCGCCAGTCCAAGTCATTGGATGAGGCAGTCACGGAATACCGTCGACGATATGGCATGCCGCCGCCACCCCACTTCGATAGATGGTACGAGTTTGCGAAGCAGCGGAAGACAGTGTTGATCGATGAATACGACACGATATACCATTCTATGTTGCCTTTTTGGGGGCTTTCCCCGAGTACAATTCGTTCGCGTGTCAGGGAGGACCTGGGCTTCGATAATGTGGTGATGGGTATCTCTATTCGCAATGGCGAGCCTATCCACCTGGGCAACGGCCAGGGAAATTTCCAACGGGATGCCGCAATGAAGCAGCTCAACCAATTCGCTCAATGGTTGCCGGATATGGATCTTGAGTTTAACGTCCACGATGAGCCGCGGGTCGTTGTTCCTCATGAGGCCTTACACAGACTGGTAATGAAGGGCCATGCAGCTCAGGCCAGTTTGAACGCCAACTCATCATTGTTGAATGCTTTTTCCCACAGTAAAGCCGCTGCGCAACCTATCCCTGAAGCCTTCACAAGCAGGTTTCTCAATATCGAACTGCAAGAAACATGGCTTAATTCCCGACTATCGTGCCCACCCGACAGCCCTGCCATGAGCCTCGATGGCAATGCGCCAGACAACACCAGTGCTTTCGCCATCGAACCTTTAGGATTTGTGTTCAATCAAACCGCCTCTAGCGATATTTGCAACAATCCCTCACTACGTCATAGCCTTGGAATCTTTGAGCGGCCCAATGCCTTTAAGCTCACGAATGAGTTAGCCCCAATGTTCTCAATGTCACGTCCATCTTCGTTCCAAGATATAGCTGTCCCTTCGCCATGGTACTACGAGGAGGTCGGAGGCTATGAACCAGAACCAGATATCCCATGGGAATCAAGGAAAGGACAAATTTACTGGCGAGGAACATCTACTGGAGGCCACAGTCATGGTGGATCCTGGCGGAATATGCAGCGCCAACGAGTGATTGCATCGCTAGAACGCGAATCGGGACACCACATCTTGGAACGCAGAGAAGAGTCTACTTGCAGCATCGGAGGTGACGAAGGATGGAAAATTCGCCAGGCAAATAAAACAGAGCTCAGCGAATACTTCAACGCCCATTTCGTTGATATCGTCGATTGTGAGGAGGACTGTTATGACGAGGCAATGTTCTTTGATGTCGTGGACAGAGAAGATCACAATGAGGCGTGGAATTATCGCTACTTATTGGATATGGATGGTCATGCTTACAGCGGGCGATTCTATGCCTTCATGCGTAGCAAGAGCGTGCCGCTCAAGCTGACCTTTTTCCGAGAATGGCATGAGAACGTGCTCATCCCATGGGTCCACTATGTGCCACTCAACAAGGATGCTAACGAAATCCCTGAGATTGTGCGCTTTTTCGAGCAGGATCCTGCTGGCCAGGAGATTGCTCGAACGATTGGCGAGGAAGGGCAGTCGTGGGCTGCCAAGACACTCCGAAATGATGACATGGATGTCTATATGTTCCGGCTTATGTTAGAGTAAGTCCTTACGTTTGATGGTGTTCAATGATGTGTCTCTCATGATGCTGACTATGCTATTACAGATACGCCCGTGTGCAAGACGACCGACGAGAGAATTTGGGCTTCATTTCCCCAGATCCATTGACTGAGAACTTACCCTAAGACCTTTCCTAAGTTCATATACATCTGTGTAAATAAAATCCTTCCTTTACGTGTTCACTGTATCAAAATGAATCTAGTATGTACAATATTGAAGACTGTCGGACTTTGTCCAGTGAGGTTGGAAGAAAGATCATGTCCTTTCGGCTGATTTTACGTTTAATCCTACATGTTAATTTTTTATGTTGAATAGTGGCCCTGGGGCCCAGCAAATCCACGAAGATTTTCAAAAAAAATTGGGATGTAGGAAACTTAAATCGGAAATGAGTTCAAGTAATTCTTAAGCTTTAATATCCCTAAGACAGACACCATACCCCTAGTAGTACTAGTAGATATCTCTACCACCTGCCTGTCACCTGTATGTATCTGCCTTGAACTTGAAAGCAACTTTCTTCAATCGTTGATGTAGCTAGTAGGAGTAATCAGAATTTTTAGTATTGCATAACATACCACAATATTCCTAACTAGGCCCTTGGTGTGTCCGGATACCTAGGGAGGGATTAGGTAGGGGTGTCCACCCACGATTACTCCTGCAGTTTACATCCCAAAAGACACTGACTAGGTATCTGGACCATTCACCAACATGCTAGAGCCAATTAAACACTTCCTAGCACTGGCCATATATATTCTGAAGTATTTTACACAATGCAATAATTTGCCTCGAAGTTTGTATAGGAAACTTTGAACACCAGTTCTAATTTGATGCCGAAACACTGGGTCGATTGCGGCTATGGAGTGCTGTATACTAATAACTAACTCTTGTGCTGTTCTCACTGTCGCTTTCAGCACATTGGGAATTTGGAGCACATGAGCGACCATATTACACTTTCATATCTATAATGGAATGTTCGATCTATGTCCAAACGTTGACAGCCGGCTTTGGGTGTTTCTGAGTGAACATGGAATTAAGATAGGGACCACCAATACGGTTCAAGGTTCCAGCGCCCATCCCCGCAGTTGAGGGCGGGTTCATCGCGATAAAATGTCATTTTCATCAAGTAAAACTTTCCTTTGTGTTACAGCTAATACGAAGGAGGCAGAGGGCATTGACCTTGGAGATAAACCTTTTCGGGCGGGGGGCGCCACATCCCTGTCTACCTGATGTTACCCCTCTCCTATGCGGAGAAGGTCGCTCTTATCTCTGTCTCCTCGGTATCCCGTTGCTCTGCTATCTTTTCACCTTCTTGTTATTACTTTCGAATCTCTTTTTCGAAAACCTTTCGCTCGCTCCTGCTCCATAACTAAGAGCCGCGGCCATTATTAGTCTTCGCCACATTCCCCAAAGACGACGCGCCTTTGAACATGGGTATCAAGGGCATTCGGACTGCTTTGAAGGTTGATCTTGAAAAGCCGGCAAGGGATCAGCCGGGTCTACATGTAAGAATCGATGCGAATGATCAAAGGCCGGCAATCACTGACAGGCAAATGTAACAGAACCGTTGGCACCCGGATGGTATGTCACGATGAGCCTTTGAGATTGTGATTATCGATACCGTAACGCTAACCTAGATGCAAGTTCCTTCTTGTGGAAGGATTGCAAACAACGAGGTTGTAAAGATTGAGTGTCTCGATTGGACGGGTGGACAAATCGGAAATAATGATTCGGCCGAGGACGTGAAGAATGTAGATCTTACACAGATTCACTACCTCTCCGGCCCCTTCGACATTGAAACCGCCGAGCCTGGTGATGTGCTGCTGGTCGAAATCCAGGACGTGCAACCATTCCAGGACCAGCCATGGGGATTTACGGGAGTGTTTCATCATAAGAATGGAGGAGGCTTCCTGGATCAGCTATACCCCAAAGCGTGAGAACCCTCGATATCGTTTACCACATGGAAATGACTGACCAGCTGGTAGCGCAAAGGCAATCTGGGATTTTGAGGGTATTTTCTGCTCCTCCCGACACATTCCACATGTCCGTTTTGCAGGATTGATTCACCCCGGCATCTTGGGGTGTGCCCCCTCGCCGAAGTTCTTGCGGAGTGGAACCGTCGAGAAGGCGAGTTGATCGCAACGAATACGATCGAAGATCGAATTGTTGCGCAGCCTGCCAACCCAATGAACGCTCATGCGGGTAGCGCTGGGGATGAAATTAAGGCGAAGGTCGCCAGAGAAGGAGCTCGAACCATTCCAGTAAGTAAAATCGGTTCGCACTACATACGGACGGATGCTGATTGAATTCCAGGGACGTCCCGAGCACGGCGGCAACTGCGATATCAAGAACCTTTCCCGTGGCTCGAAAGTGTACCTACCTGTCCACGTCCCCGGCGCAAAGTTTTCCGTCGGAGATTTGCACTTCTCGCAAGGAGATGGCGAAATATCCTTCTGTGGTGCCATCGAAATGGCCGGCGAGATCACACTCAAGTTCACCGTGATCAAGAACGGCATGGCGAAACTAGACATGAAGTCGCCAATCTTCAATGCTGGACCCGTCGAGCCGCAGTTTGGTCCTGGGCGCTATCTCACCTTCGAAGGATTCTCGGTTGACGAAAATGGAAAGCAGCACTATCTCGATGCTACAGTCGCTTACAGACAGACTTGTCTACGGGTGATTGAATATCTTCGCCGCTACGGATATAGCGATTACCAGATCTATTTGCTTTTGAGCTGTGCACCGGTCCAGGGACATATCGCTGGAATCGTGGATATACCAAACGCTTGTACTACTCTTGCGGTGCCAATGGATATTTTTGACTTTGATATTCGGCCCGAAGCCGAGGTCGTGAAAAGAGAGATGGGCGCATGTGCCATCACGGCTGATTAGTCGATACAAGGCTATCATAGTATTTTCAACACTTTCTGCAAATTAATCATTCCGTTCCAGTCTATACTAGTTACGTGCTTGGACTCCTAGTAGCCCAATGCCTAAATTCGAGTCCACTCATCATCCTTCACATCTTGAAAATCCATCAATTTATTTGGTCCCCAAACCTATTTTGCGTAGACTTCCAGTCTCGATTCACTGCCAATTCGGGTCTCCAGCGCACAACATCCTTCAGCTCCTTCTGTAGCTTGCCCTCCAAAGCGTCTACAATGAATCCTCCAATGGTAGGCATTTGCATCGCTCCATTTCCAGACCCGCCCACGGCAACTATGAGAGATGGGTGATCAGGATGTCGATCGATCAAAAATGCTCGATCCGGGGTATCGGCGTCCCAGCAGATACGAGCAAATACAAATGGTCTTTCTGCAAGGTGCGGCATAGTATCACGTAGAAATTCCCTAGCACGAGCCTCAGCCTCGAGCGGAATCTGCTCCTTCGCAAACGGGCTACTCTTCATCTCGCCGGCATTGTTAGGATCCTGAATGAATTTACAGTATCCAGGGTGCTCGTCGCAGATTTTCAAGTGGTGTTCATCTTCATCGGGCTCCATGAAAAAGCCCTTGGCGACATTGAACAGAACTGGAAGGTTTCTATATAGCTGCGACTCCTCTGCTGTCATTTGTATATGACTTAAAGTCCAGGCAGTAGGTCGCAGCTGTTTCTTGAAGTCCAGCAGGCGATCGCTACCAGCACCAGCCGCAAGAATTGTATGGTCTGCACGGTGGACAACATCATCTGCAGTTCGGGCTCCGATGACATCTCCAGCCTCGTAGACTGAGAGCTACCACATTCCCATGGGGAGTTCCCATGATAAACTTCGCACCAAGGCGTTTCGCCTCGGTATATGCGGAAATCATGGCCTTTCGAGCATGAATCCACCCTGCTCCTTTCTGGCTGAACCAGCCCTTCCACCCGGGAAAGTCACCGGTCAGTACACCTGGTGGCATGGTCTTGCGAAAGTCTTCTGCTGTTTCGAGTGCGATGAAGTCGCCCTGGGATGTCTCGATATCTTCTTGTTTGATATGCTCGATAATCTTAGGTGTGCTCCAGAAACAATCAATCCGGTCCCATGGAAGTATGGTTTGAAAATAGGGTCATTTGTCCAGCCACCCAGAGCAGATCGTGTACAAGTAGCGAATGCGATGCTCCTGGCATCCGTATTGGGCCCTAGATATTGTTAGTAGGTTTCTTTTTTACTGGCCCGATCAGGTTTTGGTCTGGTCATTTGTACCTTTGAGTTCCTTATGCTCCATGATTTTATTCACATCATTCCCAGCAGCGATAGACGATGGCACAGGATAAGGATCCAATACGGTGACATTTTTGTATCCCCGCCGGACCAAATGGAGGGCAGTTGAGCAGCCCCATGTCCCTGCGCCGACAATTAAGATGGAGGAGGATTCGTTCAGCGATGGCGGAGTCATTTTGATAGCACTGCTGGTTGAGTTTCTTGAGGGACTATCAAGAGGGTCATCGGAATGAAAATAAAAGACAACCTCGTCGCTACACATCAATAGACGCTAAGATGCAAGTTTATCGGCCGGTGTCAGACGCTGCCGCGTGGACCTTCCTACCCCTCAAACCTGGGGAAGCTTCTCCGCACCGCCTGTGGTGATCCCGGTTATTGATATCACGTCCGCGGTCGGGAAATCTCAGCGCCAGTCATTTCTGGCATTGGAATGTTTTTGATTGCCTCGCTTAGAGCTTCATGTTTTCTCTACCCCTCACAATTTGTTATCACTATCCCAAATGCAGGATGATGGTCGCAAGCCAGCCGATTGTGACTGGCTAATGGGTACACTGACCGTTGCACACTGCCAGTGAAACCCTCGATGACCAGCTTTTGAGTGAGCTCCGAGTCGTATCAAAGAGATATAAAACCAGCATCCCAGCCGTCGTGTGGGGTTTGTAATGTTTCTCAAGGTTTCAGCCTTGGCAATCATTATGACTCCATTCGATGATCAACACACTGATGTTCCAGGCACTGTGTACCTTGTAGACAGTACGCTACGAAAGTCCCCTTTCCATTGAGATATTATCTTAACAGCTCCTTTTAGCATCGAATGCCTTGCAAAGTGCCGCTCATGCAGGTGGACAAGACATTCTTCTCATACCGCAACCATCCAGATCCCGGGCTGATCCTTTGGTGAGGCCATCGCTAAAGTCTCCAAGTAGAAACCAACCTAGCTGACATCCAACTGTCAGAATTGGCCACGATTCAAAAAGCTTTGGTCATTGTTCCTCATATCAATGTATGCATGTGTTTTCTCATTCGGTGAGAATAATTGGGGAGCTAGCTGGACTTTGATCTCAGAAGATACCGGCGTCAGCTTGACCAACATGAACGGCGGGTCAGCTTTGAATTATCTTCTTCTTGGATTTTTCAACATAATCTGGATACCAACTGCAATGAAAGTTGGCCGGAAGATTGTATACATTTTGAGTTTACTACTTCTTGTCGGCGGCAGTGTTTGGGGTAAATATTATACTGGGACTGCGCAGTACTACATTATGCTGGCTATTCAAGGTGTTGGAACGGCAGCTTACCAGGCTTTGATCCAACTGACGGTGAGCTCCTTGGATTTAATAATAAGAATATGACGCTAATTTTGTTCAAGATCTTTGATATGTTTTTCACGCATGAGCGGGGTCGTATGGTTGCGATATACATTTTCTTCCAGCAACTCGGCTCGATTCTTGGTCTTATTTTAGGTGGATACATCTCTGATGGAATCGGTTGGCGTTGGAGCTCGCCTATTGTTGCCATTGCATGCGTGAGTACCATTTATTTTTGATGATCTGTTCTTCAACTAATTATGCAAAGGGCATATTGATTTTATTATTCATTTTTACCTTCGATGATACAATGTTTCCGCGGTATCGATTTAACAGCTTCTCTGACGCAAGTCCAACCAGAAGGGATGAGGACGCGGATAAAGAGAAAGAGCTAGAAGCGCCAGTCCCAGATTCGGCCAGCGATGGTGAGGGCGAGGGTGAAGAAATCCTCCCGAGAACCTATCTCCAGAAGATCGCCCTGGTTCATCATTTTGCCGATGACAAAACAACCTGGTTTCAATATTTCCGCCGGCCATTCTACCTCTTTGCGTTTCCAAACATTGTCCTTGCCGGAATCCAGTTCGCATTTGGCTGTACAGCGGGGATTGTTTCTTTCAACACGATATCAGAAATCATGACCGAGTCTCCTTATAACTGGAGCGCTGGCTCTACCGGCTTGATATTTCTCGCCGCCCTTGTTGGAAACTTCCTCGGTATGGGTGTCGGCTCTTTGTCTGACTGGGTAGTACTTGTTCTCGCACGGAGAAATAAGGGTTACAAGGAGCCCGAGATGCGCATCTGGACATATATTTTCCCATTTATTTTCGGTGCTGTTGGATATTTTCTTTACGGCTGGGCTGCGACAAATGGGTTACACTGGATGGCTATTGCAGTCGCGCTTTGCTGCTTGATCGCCCAGCAGGTATCGATTACAAGTCTTGCAACGGCGTATGCGATGGAGTGTTTCGATGGGGTATGTTTCTGGGTTTCTGTCAAAATTCTTCCTTTCGTGTGATTTTGTCTAATTCAAGTTGCTTTGCAGATATCTGGCGAGCTTGTCGTGGTACTCGCCATTTGCTCATCTCTGATCAACTTTGCTATCTCGTACTCCGTGCAGCCATTCATTGATGCGACGAATTATGGCTGGACTTTTACTTGCTTCGGGATTCTTGTGGTTCTCTCGATTTTGCTTGGCATTCCTATGATTATCTGGGGCAAGTCGTGGCGTCGGAATTGCAAGACACGATATGAACAGTTTCTTGCAGAAACAGGCCGCGGCTAGTGAGTCGGGATAGCTCTGATGGTATTTACTGTATAATTACTGGTAGGAGAGACTAGTAGTCTAGTAACAGATATGACAGCTTGGTATCATATTCAGAAGCAATACAGTGATATTTCATCCAAGTCTAGCATCATCATTCCCGATGTCCATCATCAATACTTATTGGTAAACTGTGATATACTATCATTATACATTTCCAACATCTCCCAGATACGAAAAATTACCACCAAAGCAAGCTTAATTTTCCACTTCAAATTCAGGACCATCAAGATTAAGCAAGGAAGTCCAATCAAACGAATTTGAAAAAGCCTCCGCCTGACCGAAAGTTCCAACAGAAGGCCAAGCTTCCGAGTCCATCTCCACCGGGAACTGGAACTGATCAAGATCAACACTAGGTAATCCATCATACTCCGCCGATGCAATAATGGCATCTACCAGTTCGATATTTCCCTTTTCCGCCGAAGACTTGAAGTCGTTCTGCAATCTTTTCATCAGGCCCAAGAGTCCGAAGACAATCTTGCTGCTCATCGCATAAATGCACCCTCTGGCAAAGGCAGCATCAACGGTTAGAATCGACGACGAGGCCATGTTGGCGAGGGCCTCGGCGGATTTCTGGAAAAGGTCAAGTTGTTTGGAAAACCCGGTCTGCAGGTGATCTGAACATTTGATCTGGACGATATTATTTTCGAGTATGTTTTTGCAAAATATCACGTTTTCCAGGCACATATATCTCGGAGGTGGGTGGAAAACAATGCCGTGTAGTTTCAGCTTTGAACATGCGATGAACTTCTCCAGAATCGAGGATAATTCGTCGGGATAGGCCGAGCCGTAACGTTCCAGATACTCTTGAAAGATGTTATTTGACCGCTTCTCTGGTCTTTTCAAAATATTCGTGATCTGTGAGGTAATTTGAATGGTTTCGTCGCGAGATATGTCCGAATCCGTCCGATTAACTCCTCCTTCTTCTTGGGATCTTGTCCCTAGGCTTGATGTGTACAGAAATCCCAATGCGATTATCCAGTTCTGCACCGTGTGAAAGCGAAGCTCCAGTACGGAGCGCACGGCCAATATTTCCTCGTTAACACCGTACTGCACGACAGCAAGTAGAGAGTTCGTGTAGTTGATCTGTTCCAAGCATCTTTTTTCAGTCTCTTCTGCAAGTTCGATGAAGCGGCCAGGATGATGCAGGCTTTGTTTGGCTTCTGCCAGCATTTGGAATAGGATGTAGGTTGATGTCGCCCATTGAATGTGGTAAATCGCCCGTGGCGTGCACTGGCGGAATTTCAGCGCATTTTGGTACGCGTCAACGCGGGTTTTCATGTAAACGGTCAAATGGCGAAGCGTTTGAAGTGGTTTCTTTATCAGACCGTCTACTGTGGCATGATTTGAAACCATCTGAATTCCTTGAATGGAGTCAAAGAGACACCTTTCAAATGATTCATAGTCTGCGGAATTCAGTTCGTTAAGATCTTGATTTCCCTCTCCGTTTACTGCTTCCAGTCGGTGAAAGACGCCATATGCGATGTTAATGTATATCTCTGACTTTATTGTCTTGTGGGCGATTCCTTGCATGGTAGCCAAAGCTGTCGGCTTATAGTCGGAAAGGAAAAGGGAGACCATGACCAAATCATGGTGAGTAGGTGGAGAAAACATGAATTCTTGGCCGTAGAAGGAAACGGCCAGTTGCAATTTCTGTTTTAGTCGCCAGTCTTCGCGAGAGATATTTCGATGCAGTTCGAAGCCAACCACACAAAGCAGTGCAAATAGCAGCCTTGTCGCACAATTGGTGGAGGTGGCAGATTCATCCGAATCTAAACGAGCCCGGAGATTGACGAGAGTGGGCAGTTTCGGAGAGAAAGAACCCATGCCAAACCAAGCTAATAGTCCTTGTCAGCATCGCCGCTACGCAGTCGTACATATAGTCTTTTCATAGGGAAATCAAGCTTTACCATTCATCGAAGGATGCAGCCATGTCATGACTGATCAAATCCGGCAGAGGTGTGTTCCAGTTTGAGGTAGCATGGGGAATGTCAGCGCCGAACGCGCGGTCTTTGGCCAGGACCGAGATGAAGAAATAATTCGCCTGAATCATGGATTGAAATATCTCTTCTTTTCGCGTCGAGCGAGCGATATCAGGCTGGTGGTCTTGAGATAGAATGCCATCCCCCTCATCAGCGAAGAGAAAGTCTTTGATGTTTAAACTCGAAATGACTGGAATACCTTCCTCGGGCACAGAATCCGAGTGGGCTTTTGGACTTCGATCTTCCGAGCTTTGGAGCCGACTGCGTTTGGATTGAGGTCGTCCGAGCAATGTATAATCCACTACACATTCCAAATTGAGGTTTCGACACCGGTCGCAGCACTTCTCTATTGGCTGGGGGAGATTCAAGGGCCCCAGGTCGTGTACACTAGGCAGCACACATTTGATCTTCCGGGATCGACAGCCTCGACATATCAACCGCGCATATTTACCTCGTCGGACTCGTTCGGACATGTTATATTGTGGTTATGGGATAGGGATACAAGTAGAGATGGTTAGCGATGGATCGAAACAAGGAAGTGGCTCGTTGAGGTGGAGTTTTGCTGCGGTTCATTGGGGGCCATTTTGCTGATCGGTCGACACTTACGGAGTACCTCCACAGATGAACGCGGTGCAACGGAGGTCCTCCCAATGGGATTTGAGGGTGTGATGACTCAGCCTACATCGTGCGGGCTTGAGGGTGACAGCTGGTTGTATCTGACATATATTGTGAGCCGTGTGTGAAAGCTATACTCCGTAGATAATACAAGACAGGCACATTTGTGGCCCACTTTCAAGTTCCCTGGACTCGTCACTGTTGTCAGCTCCAGGGCTGTTGTGTTGTGGCAGCACGGCTCACAACCCACCTTCCAGCCCCCAGCCTTGACTCCAACTGATAAATAACTCGCTTCTAAAAAATAGGATTTAATTTGAATTTGCCAGTTGTCCCATTCCTACGCGCACTGAAAAAACCTGAAGACTCACTGGCACCCTTTTCTCACATTTTGCACTACGTGATACACCGTGATACGGATACTAGATATAAGAAACACAATGGCCCGATCACCACCAATATCAAAGTGAGTCATTACTCAGTTAGATAGGAACGCCAGCTGATTGCCTATTCCTTTCTCAATAGACTACCCCAGGAGATCTGGACCCAAATCCTGGACCCAATATCTCCATCTGGCAGAGCGTCCGTTTTGGCCTCATCTCGGAGTTTACAATATTCTTCTGAGGGGTTATTATCCAGCCTCGTATAGGTGATAATTTCGCGGATAAAGGGTCTGACAAATTTGTGTACATGTCCAATTAAATATATGGAGTTGTGTTGTATAGACAACAAGAATCATTACACCGCTATCGAGGTAGCATGAGAATCAAAGCTTCAAAGGATTTTCTGCAGTAAAATAGGAACTAGTCAAAGTACTTATTACGGATGCCTATGACCCATGGGGCCTTTGGTTTACAAAAAGGAGGGATCTCGACTGACTAGGAACAAGATGTACGAGGCATTTTCCACAACCATTTCATGTCCTCCAGAAGACGCAGCCCGGAGGGTATTACCGTAACGTCCACCTTGGACGTTGACTTAGCTCTGTTCTTCAGCAAGAGCTGGACGATCATACTATGTCCTCTATAAGAAGCACTTTGGAGAGCATTTCCGAAGAAACCACCTTCGGTATTAATTTCGGCACCATTCTTCAGCAGGAACTGCACGATACTATCGTGTCCTTCAGAAGACGCAGCTTGGAGGGCATTTCCGAAAAAGCCCCCTTGGACATTAATTTCGGGTCCCTTCTCTAGCAGTAACTGCACAGTATTGTTGTGCCCACGGGTTTTGGTGTATCATTTGGACCATTGCGCGGACATAGACGTTCATGCTACGAGGAGCATCAGCTACTTAAACGATGTAGTAGCCAGTGTACAGCGTGTACAGCCATTGGAAATTTGCTATGGGCGGCGTTCTTGATGTCACAGGAAGCTCTTAAGGGCTTGTAGAATTTATCATTACGAATGGCTGTTGACGCTGAGATGCCTCTTGAAATAGAATGTGTGATTGCCGCCTTATTACCTTGCGTTGGCTTTTTGAACTGCCTCTTTTGGGGCCGAAATTTACTGTATAAGACTGCAGCTTTCTGCTTGCGTAGGAGATCGTTCCCGTCTAATTTCTTTTCGACGCTCAACTATGACTGGTGACAAGCTTAAAGTTGAGGAACGGAGAGGGTTGCCTCACAACTCGCATCCATAGGAGAGCACCTTAAAAAGCAATTCATTTGTTTGAGATACACTCCTCTCAAACTTGCTTGCGGTCTTTGTCTTACTTTAAGAGAAGCTTCTATCATCAAAATACTTTCGTTCCTGACCTTTCGACTCTGATAACGATGATGATGTATTTTCTTAGATATTTATTCGACGGCGGCGCCACTTTCGATATCGACCAGGATTTAAATTTATCGTGCGTGGTGTGTTTATCGAAGATTGGTACTACATAGTGTAATGGGGATTTCCGCTCTCAACATCGATATCCTAGGGTCATGTGACGGAAGCCTTAGCAACAAGGCTCCTGTTTTGTTTCAGGAGAATAAGTAGCGTTCGTTCTAGATTATCAATTCAATATGCATGTTTCCCCTTATGAAAATGTTCTACTGAGACTGCTGAAGTTGCGGTATCGGTATACTGCTTATGAAAGGTTCTGTTATTCATTCTGTTGTTCGTTCTGTTAATCCTCTACAGCGTTACGCTTTGCCTATCGTCTCCTTGCACTCTGCGAGTGTGGTGGTGTTGTCTCTCCGCGATCGACCCGTCTGCCAACGCAGACTGCCAGCGAGCATTCCCATGTTACAATAGTAAGATTACACGGCTAACGCATATAAAAATATCGATAGATCACCGAGCTCAATTTTCAGATAGTCATTAGCCTTGGAATAAAGTCAGGGTGGTTCCAATTCAAATTCGTCGTATGACCCCATCCTCATTAGACTTCCACGGCTTAAACTCGTCGCCACCGTCCACCCTATAGATGCCAACATGGCCAACCGTGAAGCTTGCTCTGATACCTTCGCTTTCATCATCTCCCAAATCCTCTTTATTGTTGACATATTTGATCACATCCTTGTACATGGCCTGGTTCTGATTTGCAGCAACCTGATTCACCATGAAAGTTGCCCGTTTTGAGACAGGATCAATCTTCAGGCCGACTTCTGATTTCTCGAGGCCCCCAATCCAGTATTCCGAGGGAGATATGTTCTTATGCATGTCCGAAAGTCTATTTAATGAAGATTGAGAGAGAAATTCTCCGCTTTTCGAGTCTGAATAAACTGAAATCTGGCTGGAGTTGGAAGAGCGTTTGCGGAAGACTGAGGCGTGGGGCAATGTTATTGCTTATTTCAGTCTTTCCAGAGGTATCTCCCTCTTCGGAAGTTTTTTGATTCGCAGTTGCGGAGTAATAGGCACCTATAGCCCCTTGAAAACGGCTCCGGCTCTGGGTTTCATCCTCGAAGAAAAGAAGAAGATGAGGATGATGCTCGTAGCCTCGGTCCGCCACACTCTCAATAATACGAGCCAGTGTTAACCCGTCACTTGAGTCTTTCATTGTTGAGAGGCTGATTGTTTCGAAAGAGACTGGCCTGATCTCTCGTGCAAGTTCGGGTTTTCCATGGAACTCCTTCGCTGGAGGTACAAATAGTGATACCGCGCGGAGAATATCACATATCCTGGAATCTGGTAGCGGCTCTGTTCCTAATGCCGAACTATTCTCAGGAATAGGAGGTTGAAATATGATTGCCCACAGCTCATGGAAACGCAGTTCGATGTTTGGCTAAGGCGAGAAATGATTAGCTTGAATTTATTTATAGTAGTAGAATATGCCTCAAGATAAATCTTACCAGAAGGTCAAAACATCGGCTAATTGCGCTGGATGTCAAGAAACCTTCCCCGTCAAGATTGAATGGTTGGACGAGAACATTCACAAGCTCATCTTGCCGAGCGCTTGGTTCCTCGAGAGTGCCGTGGTGGAAATTATCCCGACCCCAAGTTGAAGTATACAGCCTGATCCTGTGTAATAGGGATAGAAGTGTAGTGAGACTTCTTGAATGCAGTTGAGATTGATAGTTTGCACCTTTGCTTTGAAGTAAACGTTGCGCTGTCGGTGATAGAGTCTCATAGCCGGGGATTCCTTTCGTTTTATGGGGTTGGGTCGTGGCAACAATATCCAGAATATCATCTTCTAGATACGACTGGGAATTGTTTGAACTTTGTTGAACATTGGTATGGACATGACTGATACTCCGAAAAATGCGGTCGATATTGTGTCTGCAGGTACAGGACCTGCCATTCACATACGCCCAGTGGACTTTTGCCTGGGTCATACCGGATAATATAGTCCCTAGAATGCCTGTGACTTTGTAAGCAAGCAAGATCAAAGCGCGCTCAAATGCAGGACGTTCTATTCTCCCGGTGTCCGCATCAGAACGCGGGAAAGGGTGCCAGGCATAAAAGTAGAAGCATGACCAGAGAACATCGATAGCTGTGTCGGGGAGTTTCACTTCGGGATGTGCTTTTAGGATGTGATTTTGAAGGCTTTCTTTCGTCCAATCTAAGTTATTGCCTCATTAGTCAATGCTTAACGTGATGGATATACTCTTCTCGCGAGGGGAGATCTCATACATGGTTGCTCTTGGGGGGAACCCTGGACGCTACATGCGTCGAAAATTGCCTCATATCTGTCATCCTGGGCTTGATGCTGTAGAAGGTAGTTGTGTAAGCTCTGAAGAGCAATATCTATGGATAAAAGATCAGGCTTATGACTTGACGCGCTGAGCGACCCCTAATAGATGGGCGACATACCTGGCGTGACCGTGCGATAATAGTTTTCAAGTTCTTCTTCTTGAGGGTCTACTATAGTCAAACAGCAACCCATGGTGCATGAAGGAGACTACAGATGTAGTGATTGAGGCGTGCGTAGATTGAATGTAGGAGGAACTTGAAGCTACTGCACCGAAGTGAGAGATATACAGGCAGGTCACATGCGCTCCAAACTGATGGTCTATTCCAAGGTTCTTCAGGTGAATGAGTGACAGAACAATGAGATTATGATGAGAATGATAAGCCATCTGATGGAATTCAGTATCTGGGGGCCGATGTTGATCGCAGTCAGGTAGTAGGTCAGACAATGTTGGCATTCTGGCCCCCTGTTACCCACTCAGCTCTGCTCCCCTTTCCCCACCCAGTGATTTCTTTCGGCCCCAAGACCTACTCCTTTGACCACCGTTTTTTGTCCATCCTCAATCGATAGCGTCACACGCAATTTTAATAACGCTTTACGTCATACTAAGTTAGCAGTTTGAAAGTGTCTTACCGGTAAGATGATCATTAACACCTGATACGATCTTCTATTTGATGCTTCAGAATAATTTATGCTTTGAGACAAATTTGATTTGTAAAATATCAGAGCATACTTCACTCAATCGACCGGTTTACTAGAACACTTCCACTCTAGAGTCCCAGCCAATATCAAATTTACCACCGACCCTCAAATCACCATCTATGGTCTTCTCACATTCTTGTTGGACTTGGGTAATGGCGCCTGCAACCTCCTCGCAAGTCCCACCAACAGGGCCGCCGCATATAGAGATCGTAGCAGAATTTTTGCTTCCCAGAGTAGTACACTCGCTGCCATCTCCATTGCTCTGTTCACAAAAACCTCCGTAGCCCCTGACCTGGTTTATCACAAGAGTAACATCGCTGGATAATGGACTACCAGCGCTGGTCTCACATGTGATATTAAGATTTCCATTTGACTGTGGTGTTCCAGCACCAGCCAAATCGTCGAGGGAGGCACCTGTTGCGGATGGATAAACGTATTCGGTGTTGCTAACTGTCGCGGTCCAGTCTTCTTGAACAATTACCTCTGTGGCAGTTTCAACGGGTTCCAAGTCTGCACTATCAGTGCCTGTTGCAGATGCATAAAGGTACTGGGTTTTTCCATCTGTTGAAACCCAGTCGGGGACAATTTCTTCTATAGGAGCGCCCAGGCCCGTGGTCAACGTTGCTGTATCCCCGGAAGTGGTGGACTCGTAGTAGACTTCGCCAGCACTATAAACGAAGACATCGCCATTGGTATCAGTTGAAGTATAACCGGTAATTGTAGCCTTAGAATTCGTCGATGCGCTCGTTCGGATTTGCACAAAGCTGGAAATTGGGAAAGTCATAACATCACTGCAGTCCTGATCTCTTGGCTTTGTGATTGTATGGGACATAGTATGACCGGAATGAGTGGTTGAGCAAGCGCAAACGGAATAGGTATCAGAAATTGTTTGAGGTTGGCATATGCCTGATGTTGTGGCCTCAGTAGAGCTTGATGTAGCCTCTGTGGACTCTGATCCAGTAGAGTATACAGTTGTGAGTCCAACTACAGAAGATTCTGATGTTGTGGCCTCGAGATTTGTTGATGCGGCGGTGTTGGGATTGGTTATAGATATATCTACCGAAGTCAAAGAGCTCGTGGCTCGCTTACAAGCTTTCCCTGTAACTTCAGTAGTCGTCATAGTGGTCCCGGTCACGTCACAGCCAACGTGGGTTGAACATATACTCGTTGAAGTTGTGCTAGTGGAAGGAGTCATAGAACCATCTCCGCCAGTAGCCATAGTAGTGATAAAGATGGTGCTGGTTGTACAGTCCTCAACTGTCTTGGTAGAAGTGCAGGTAGTGGACTCAGAACTGCTGGAAGTGCTGGAATCGGAACTTGTGGTGGAAGTTTTCGATTGCGTTGCCGATTCTGAATTCGGTTCCTTTCCATCCTCCTCCAGCTCCTCAAGTTGCTCTGCAGCTTCCGATACTGCATCGAAATTGTTTTTGAATTTCTTCTCTTCCTCGTCGGTGTCAGGGGTCTCATTGTTCAACTCCGAGAAGGCTTGGTTTATGAGACTCCATCCGCCATTGATCGTATTTCCTGGATCAACGCCATTCTTGATGTTTGTTTTCGCTGAGCTGATAAAACATCCAACGGACCCGACAAGGCCGGCAAGCCCTCCTCCAGAGCCACAGCCACTGTTTGAAGATCCCTCCTCTGAGTCACCACTACTCTCCCTCTCTTTGATGTGGTCCTCGACTCGATCTTGAGCTTTTGTAATATCATCGTGGACGATAGACCGAGTGTCTTCATCTTGGAGATCTGCAGAGTGGACGTTATTGCTTAGATCAACAAGCCAAGCTGCAAGGGCAAGTCCTTGAGTGGTTTCGGCTCCTCCGGTGGTTGCTGCGGTTGTTGGAATTTCGGTATAGTCATTCGACAAATCACTCCAAGCTTCTGTTGCTGTATGTGTGGGCCAATTTGAAAGTACTGCGGCCACTTCAGCGGATAAATCCACAGTCAGCGTTGATAACATTGAGCTCATTTCACTTTTATCTGGGGAATCTTCCAGAGAAAAAGATCCCGTAGCCCAGGAATAATTAGGCTGATTAGACTGCGAGGAATTCGGAGTCGATGTTGTCTTATGATTGCCACTTGTTGAACCATTGGATCCTGTCTGGGTAGCAGAAGAGTGTCCATTCTGTGAAGTGGCAAGTGAACTAGAGGTAGTCTGTGTCCCTTTCGACTTCGAGGTGGTGGGAGAGCTTCCACCAGTGGGCTCTTTCTCGGTAGTTGAAGAATGGCCACTACTAGTATGTGGTATAAGAGGAGTGCTGGAAGTCTGCCTTCTTTTCGACGTTGCGGCAGTAGAAGAGCTTTTCCCACTGGGCCCTTTCTCGGTACTAGTAGTAGAAGAATATCCACTACTAGTATCTGGTATAAAAGGAGTGCTGGAAGTATTTCTCCCTTTCGAGGTCACAGTTGCAGCAGTGGAAGAGGTTTTATCACCGGTATCTTCCTCGGTAGCGGAGGACTGCCCAGTATGTGGATTGATAGGGGTGCTAAAAGTGTGTCTACCGTTCGAAGGAGTAACGACAGAGCTGGATCCCGTAGGAGAAGAACCTCCGCTAAGCGGATTGATGGGGGCACTTGAGGTACTCCCCCGGTTGGATGTCTGTATAGCGGTGTTGGATTCCGACCCGGTTGCAGAAGTGTCTACACTACCCGACCCTGTAGATTCCGTAGCCGATGAACGCCGCCCATCATTGACACGGCCAAAACGAATGACCGGAGTCGATGAAGCCGGCACGGTCACAGTTGTCTCTAAAAGTGGGAGCCATGTTGAGATACCTGGTCGGAATTTGGTCGGGGTCAAAGTCACAAGACAAGGACTTGAAAGGCAAGTTGAAGAGGCCAAGGTCGTTGCAGAGCCTGGAGGACTGCTCGAATCCTCAGAAGTAATCGAAGAAAAGGCGATGACGGGAGTCAAGCCTTGTGGTGCGACGACCCTGGCTGTAATTGCTGTCACACTAGGATTTTCCGAGACTATTATCTCATACCTAGTCATATCACCGGTTATCTGGCCTCCAATTGGGTTAAAAGCATCACTCAAGCCCAAGAGAGACAGTGCTACTAGTAGTAGTAACAAGCCACAATTACGAGAGAGAATCATGGTAGCCAAGAAATGCACAGAATACGATTTGGGTGTACATATGCCAGGGCAACCACCGGGGCTCGAAGAGAGCGTTTTAAATTTATATCTTTGCGAGCTTTGAAACTAAGATTAAGTACTAAAAGTACTAGGAGATTTTTCGATGACCTCACACAAATCAATTGAATAGGAGTATACTAGTATGAGTATTAGCTCTTTGCTATACTACCAGAGGATACCGTGATATGAATGTGATACAAGTTCACAGGTGCCATAAGAAATCCGCTCAGAAGGATTCAACCGCCCCCTCTTGGCGCCCTTACGGAGAGTTCATGAAACACAAGGGCAGAAGAACCATACGATACGGGTGAAGAGATTAAATGCTCATTGGAAGAGTGAAAGAAATTGACGTTGAAAGCAAGGTCAAGAGGCCTAGAACTCGAAGCTGCATCTGCCCCAGCCCCAAGGCCCCAACCCCAGCCCCAAGGCCCCAACCCCAGCCCCAAGGCCCCAACCCCCGGGGCCAAAAGCCAGGTTCAATAGATCCACGAGTGTCATGATCCAGCAAATTTTGAATTGCAATGAAATTGGCCCCAAGGAATTGTTTGTGATTACACTTGTGCATGCATGACGAGGTATACTTGGCTGGGGGCCAAAGGATCCTAATAAGAAAGCATGGATCCTTCAAGTAGATCACAATCCTTTTAGAATGGTGTAGCTGAGCTCATTTAGTGAGCCTTTTAAACAATGCAAGCCTTAGTTTCCCTCGTAGTATCCAGTATACTCATCCCTTACACCCGTACTTTCTCATTATCCCTATAGTGGAACCTGAAGAGGTTGTTTATTCCACCTTCGGGTCACAATCTCCTATGTGCGGCCTTCTCGATCCTGATATCTGGGATCTCGGCATCTCCTGTGTCTTCGCCGGGCAGATTTGATCCGTCTAGTACAGTCACCGTCGCTGTTACGCCATCTTTCGTGTCAAATGTTTTCCAGAATACCCACACCTCAACAGTTGGCTCGAATAGCCAGACTACGCCAATCCCTATTGTTGGTTGCACTGAGTGTTGGGTAAGTAACATACTAGTAGTCCACGTATACTTCCAAGGTTTGATGTGGAGTGTCCTTTGCGTATGCAAGTTCGAAAGCTCTCATACTAATCTGTGTATGTTCTAGTTCTGCTCGCTAGAAGATGAAAGGGACATCGACGGCGCATGGGCCTTGATAGGTATTGATGGCCCAGGAAACTACCAACCATCTATCCTTGAAGACGTTGATGGTTTCGCTGAAACTCTCCCCGTTATCACGGTTTCATCCTATGGGGAGTCATCTTATGAACTTGAACCGTCCCAGACGATAGATGAGGAAGAGTCGGCTACGAATGTCAAAAGAGCCGCAACTCCCACTGTAACTGAACACCATAAATCAAACAACTACAAAGTGTTTGAGCGTATGCTTCCTGCGTTTGCAAATTACCCGAACAACGCCGGATTTGCTTTATCTGCTAGTATGTCGGTCCCATCCTCCAATATTTCCATCTTGCCCCTCGTTTCAAGTCCATGGCCAAAACATCTGATCATGTTGCATCATGCATGTATCGTATCACTCAAGTTGGCAGCTCCGTGACTGACTCTCTTCTTAACTACTATCTAGGATCGGATGAACAGAAGTCGATTCAAATTCCATTTACCGACAAAACCATAACCTACTCATGGCCCGCCCACTATGTAGTTGTCACAGGCTTCATCTCTGTGCGGGGAATACAATGGAACGACTGTGAAAACGAAAGAATCGTTGAAGAAATACATTATGACTGGGATACTGTCATGTGGGATCTTGGGTTTCGCAGGACCACCGGGGAAATTTGGTACGAACGAAACGACCGTGATGCATCGCGTTATGATAACGATCAGGTTAAGTGGAAATGGCTCGGCCGTATCAGTGAGCAGGGTAGAGGTAGACCGGATTGGATTGCCGCCATGGCACAAGAGGTTGTGAATGAGATGAACGGAGAAAAGAAAGGTCTGAAGGGAGGAGGGTACGACAAATGGTTCAACAACTGCCGGAATTTCAGGGACTACTTATACAAGAAGATCAAATATTAGGACTATAGAGAGGAATCTCGAAGCTAAGCAGTACCCAATGAGCTTAGTTGGGATACTCTTACTAGCAATACCTGAGGTAACTAACTAGTCAGTAGTTAGTGCTAGTACTAGCCTGAGGTATTTCAATGGGGAAAACAACATACGACAGGATTCTCAAGAAATTGCCTTACGGCAAGAGGCAAACGCAATAGGAAGCTTCCAGGTTTTAAAAGCCACCTTGAGCCAGCAATAAAACCCAGGGAAACGAATTGGGACCAGACATGATGCTGCGGGTGTTCTCGTCGCGCTATTCTCGGTAGATTAAAATAGGGGTTGGAATCCAATGCGCAGTGGTATTTGCATCCGACTCGTGCTGAAGATTGTAAGACTAGATGGGGGTGCTGTGGTCGTGATTGTGGCTGTTGTCTTGATCCTGCACGTCCAAATACTTCAGCAGAATCTTGACATAATTTGAAATATACAGAGAAGCGAAGAAGTAGAACCGAACAGAGCTAAACAGACAGGGAGAAATTGGGAACCTGACTCGAGAATATCAAAATTGATGGACCACTTATGTTATCAATACCCGCCCTGGGCAATAAGAAACTGCCTTAGAACACCCTATAAATTACTTCTTTGAGCTCATAATATCCTGTCGCTCTGACACTGTGCGGGCCATTTCATTGCCGATGTCATTATTCAAGTTCTTAAAACCTGCGATAACACCTTCCCGGTATTTCTCGGGGGATTCCTGGCTCATTTTGAATTTTCCACCTAGGCTAGTGATCTCAATCTGAACTCCGATGATACTCTTCTGCAATAATGCAATGTATCTGTCGGGGGCATCTGAAACCTTCCACGGGCCCAGTTTGTCATCCCCAGTAAAACCCATCAGTGATACTTTCTCCAAGTTTATTTTCCCTTCCTATATTTTCGGCGAAGCGCTATTCGGTCTCAAATATGCAGGAAAAACCAACGAACGCTTTCGGTTGTTCCATAATGAAAGATCAATCCGAGTCTGGCAGGGTAGAATCACATTCAAATACGGAATATATATGCCGGTCCGAAACAATAGATCAATGGTGAGAATCAGCAACAAACAGGAGCAGCAGTCATTGGACCACCATAAGGACCTGTTTGCTGGCGACGATACCCGTGCATATCTCACGGTTCCAAAGACCACTCAACACGACGAAGCGGGGTTGTATAAAACCAATTACGAGGCGCGATGGGACAAGATGAAAGAGACGGTCAAAGAAATACTTCCAGTCCTCAAAAACAATAAATACTGGGATACGTATAAGTATGATCCAGTGCGAGATGCGGATAGACAAGCAAGGGAACTTGGCCAAAAGGCCCGGGGCACGGTCTTGCTGAAGTACGACCCAAAGGATGTATACAGAGTTGGAGAGGAGGAAAAGAAACTCAAGCGAATGGTGATGTGGATGGAGAGAAAACAAATTTTTGATATTAAATGCGATGAAAAATGATGGCGTGGGAAGAGCATCCATTTCTCCTATCAGATAGCCTAGATGAATGCACATACATCCAACATCGAATTTCATCCGCCTTGTGGTATTTCATGATTTTCTTGTTATATAACATTCTCCTTGACAAAATTGTACCCGAGGAAACTGATCCGGGAGTTTAAAAAGAAGCTAGAAGCTAGAACCCACCGAAGAAACGGAAAGTAGAAGATGTAGTATCTATGGACCATGTCAAGGTTCAGACTGAAAGTGGAAAGCTGTGCCACTCTTCCTTCCAGTCTCCTGACTCATTTTCAGGCCAAAGCAAACGCCAGCTTCTGGCCATTTCAGGATCCGGTAGGGTCATGGTTGGGGTTAGAAATCGCACGGGCTCTCCCGTCTCCTTTGCGACAGGTTCATCTGTATCGTAACGTGGGTTTTTTTCGACCCGCCACTGCTTTGCGATAGTCTTGAATACGCCGAGTGTTGCGTCTGACATCACACCTCCAAATTCACCGACCTCGATAGCCTTCAGGTCAAGTCTTTCTAATGGAACCGACACTTTAGGCTTGCCACCTGAAATCGTTTCAAAAATCGAACATGCCAGCGATTTGTCGATTGCCGCGTTGATCAGAGCTCCGCGAATACGACCGTTAGTGGGTGCGTTGCTCCGGGTCACATCGTATATTTCGAGATCGAACTCGCGGTGGAATTCATGGTTTGGAAGTGCCTCCATATCGAAAGGAATCCACCCCTCGTCGAATTCCTCGTCGTCTGACTCTTCAGGCCACATGTCTTCGCCGAGGATGCCCTGGATGTTTGATACGTCCCGCAAAAGATCTGATACGTCCAGGTCTAGGCTTAAGTGTTGTAATTTGGGCAATGAGCCTAACAATCTGTACGACTTGACTTCCCGTGCATCGCCATAGGTGCGCCGCATACTGATCGCTAGCTTTTGTAGTAAAGGGCAACTCTCAACGACCAGTTTGAGGTCCGATAAGGTCGGCTGTAGTCCATGATATGGTGCAAGACATAGATCGGTAAGGCGACTTCCATGGTAAGCCAGGAATGAATCTGAAGGTACCTCCCGGACTAGTGGAGACCACCCAAATAAGGTAAGAGATCTTAAGCGCGGTACCCATTTGAGAAAATCTTTGGTGGCCTTGTTTGTTTCCGTATGTGGCACGCTTTGGTATTTTGATGTCATGCCCAGAAGAAGTGTTTTGAGCGAAGGTCATTGGGCATTTAAATCTGCCATAATATAGCGTAAAGGTGTTTTATCTCGGCATCTTTGTTGTAGTTGCAATGTTTGCAATACTGAAAAATCCGTACATGAAATCCAGCCCTCTATGGTCGACGTTCGTAGAGCGTAATCGTGTGTTAGTGAAAGAGATTCGAGGGAGCCTCGTGAACGCTTCGGGTTTGGCTGAAACCTGCCGGCCGGAGAAGAAGTGCGAGGGGACAGAGCAGGGACGCCTGCGCTGCTACAACAAACCTCCTTTAGATTCGGGGCCTCCGAGCCGGCAACCAGACGCATTGCTAACTCGTGGTCAGAAGCCTGGCACCAACGCGGGTACCCGATTCTATGGCTTCAGATATACTGGATGCTGTAGAGACATGGCGAGCTATTTACCCTTGGATTGTGAGGGCGAAAATGGCGGATGTGGAGTCTGCAGCGTTGGTGGTGCCGATGCAGAATATCGAGGAGACATATTGGGAAATCGACTAGGAATCCCTCGAAAAACAAATCGGATAGACCAGAGAAGCGCTTGACCAGAGAGGACAGGGATATCCAGAATTCATTGCGCGGCACCTTTTTTTCCAGTCGGTCCACAATTTTGACACAGCGTACGTGTTGAAAGGCAAAGGCTTGTTCTAATTGCTGCGAATATCGCTCGACCACGCCAATCTCGTCATTTTTCACCTCAAAGTGTAGAGTGTGGAATAGATAGACGGACGCGGCGTAATAACATCCCCAGCTCACACAAGCAAAGGCGCGAAGACTGGGTGGGTGCTGGCTCACAAGTGCCATTACATATTGGACGGTCTCCAGTGGTAACTTCTCCATAATGTGTCAACAACTTGAATCAGCGGGTGACGAGAGTTGAGAGTTGATGATAGATATCTGTGCGGATGATATTAGAAGACTGAAGACTGAAGACTGAAGACGGAAAGAAAGCACCCGCAGTCTACTCTTACATATGTCAACATACGGTGGGGACCGTGGGGGCCGTTCATACAAGCGATGGCCCCCGAGAACTCTTGCTCTTGTCTGTTGGGGGTCTTTCTTCTCTTCTCTTCTCCGCACAGCTTCCACTCAACGTTACTCGCAAAATGGCCCCAGGACCATCTCTGTCGCCTGTCTCGCCTCGTCCGAGTCGAAGATCAGGGATCAATTTTATAGCGGCAATCGCCCGCAAAATCGATTGGTCATTGGTCCTACCGTATGGCATGTTCACCCTCATCTAGTACTCTTTAATTCCGATATTTATATTAACCATTTCCCCAGTATGATTGTGATTTCCGGGTTTTGCCCACGCCTTGAATATTACACATGCATGCTCTATCTACGATGGAGTCAGCAGCAAGCGTTGCCTTCGATGTTTACGATTCCATCGCTTACAGAGCCCCAACACTGTCAAGATGGATATAGGCTCGCAGCCATACTAATATTACCATTGAACCTGTTTTTTTTGGCTATAATTTGCTATCTGAGGCCCCTCTTTTACCAGAATTGAAATGATCAAGACAGCCTGTGTATTGGACTCTCTTGACTCGGGTCCTTTGAAGGCATGGCGAAAGCAGAATACCCAGTAGTGCAGTGAGGAAATAGCGATCTGAATCAGCAACAGCTTGTATATAACTGGAGGTATCTTAGGCCTAGTCTCATAATATAGACAATCTCCTCTCTTAACTATCCCTAATTTCCAGAATCCAACCCTTCCCAATGCAACAACGTTACCGTGTTTTTTACTAAATACTATCCTATTCGTTTATATACTCTGTACTTCCAAGGTCTGAATCGTTAGGATCTAGTTACCCTAGAAGTAACACTGGGTCGATTAGTACGGCCATGGAGCATCGCAAGCAGTCTCGATCTTGATTAGATTCAGGGAAATGCTACACAGTCATGGAGAATAAAGTAGGTCAATAGAAGCAGGAATCTCAGAGAGCAAATTTAATTGCCCAATGATGTGATTACTAGTATCATACATCATGCTTCACAGATAAAACAGAGAAGAAAAAAAGATACTTCATGAATCGTATGGCATAGAGAGCTATAAACGCCAGAGAGTAAATCAGGAGAAGAACTTCTGGGCAGCCTTCTTATCCTTTGCCTCGCGGTCCTTAACAGCCTTCTTGACCTTGGCAATCTCGTTCGTGATACCCGCATCAGTAGGCGCCAGCTTGGAAGCCTCCGTGAGATCCTTGAGCGCATTATCCTCCTCCTTCAGACCGACTAAGGCAAGAGCTCGGCGGTAGTAAACCTTGGCCTTGTCACTGTCCTTGGTGGGGGCGGTATCGGCAACCTTCAGAGCATACCCAGCCCAGGTCTTAGCGTTCGAGAACCGACCAAGCTTGTTGGCGAGAAGCGACGAGTTGGAGTGCAGGGTAAAGCGGAGAGCAGTCATCTGCTCGCCGAGCTCCTTGGAGTCATTTTCGCCGGGCTCAGGGAACTCGTTCAACCAGCGCAAGCCCTTTTGGTACTTCTCCAGACCGAGCTCGAGGTCGCCGCTCTTGAATGCAGCATTGCCGAATCCCTTGAGGTCAGAAGCGATCTTGAAGCCCAGAGGAGCAGTCAGCTCCTCGCCCTGGTGGTCCTCGGGGAAGTCCTCGTAGGGGTCACCGGTCGCGTCCTGGATGCGCTTGTTGGCATTCTCGTAGTCCTCGCCGGAGAACTGACCGCAGTTCACCACGGTAACGTCGACCTTAGGCTTGTCGGACTGAGTGGACATGTTTTCGATCTTGCGAATAATGCTTTTGCCGTTGATGACCTCGCCGAAGACAACGTGCTTGCCATCGAGGTGGGGGGTGGGAACGGTGGTAACGAAGAATTGACTGCCGTTGGTGCCGGGGCCAGAGTTGGCCATGGAGAGCAAGAAAGGACGGTCATGCTTGAGATCGAAGTTCTCGTCGGGGAACTTCTCGCCGTAGATCGATTCACCACCGGTACCGTTGAAGGCAGTGAAGTCACCACCCTGGATCATGAACTGCTTGATCACACGGTGGAAGATGGAGCCTGCCTCGGTTTAGTGAAGGCGCATGACATTGCGGCGAAAGAAGTATTTCGACATACCCTTGTAGGTCAATGGCTTGCCCTGCTGGCCGAGACCCTTCTCGCCAGTGCAAAGGGAACGGAAGTTATCTGCGGTTTTGGGGACCACTGGATTTTTCCAGGTTTAGTTGGGAGGTCAATCGGTTGGAGTGGAGTTTTGATCATACCATCGTCGAACTAAGTGAGGCGCAAGTTAGCTGGGAAGCTCCCAATGGTAAAAATGAGAGTGTAGAGAGCTTACCAGCTCGAAAGCAACACGGCCAGCCTTGACGCCACCGACTTCAATGTCGAAAAAGACACGAGAACGCTCTAACGAGGGGTCAGTAAGAGACAATTCAATTCCTGCGCGCGGGCTGATCGGCAGACCCCGCAGTGGGACACGCACTCTGGGATTCCGCCATGGTGAGTGTAAGAGCGAGCGGGCGCAATACTTTAAGTGAATGGAAGGGAAGAAAAAGAGGACGAAAGAGAAGTGGAGGAATGGATCTCGGAATGAGGTGAAGTGGAGAGAGTAAAAGTGGGGGAGGTGGAAGTTGAAGGTGGAAGTTGAAGGTGGAGAGGAGAAATTGGGGTGATTCAGGAAGCTTCCACGGGCGGTGCAGGCAGCCTTTGTATACTTCAGTTGACTACAAAGTAACTATACTATACTATCGTATAGGATCATGATGCTTTGAACAGTTGTCTATTATCTAGTATATACAGTAAGATGGTATTTTGGCATCTCTTCATTTCCTCATCATTCATCGCATCCTTTTATTTCTTATGCCAGCAGTTCCGGCGGAATCGTAAATTCAAGCGTCGTGCCTGAACTGCTACTATCCTTGTCATTATTCTCATCTTTCGCCGGTTTGGGCTCCTTCGGCTCCTTCTTAGGGAGATTCGTATTGATTTCGATCGTAACCTGTAGTCTCCATTAGTTCTCCAATTCCATGGGGCGCTGGGAGGAGCCAGAAAGACAAGGTATGTAGTTACCACTGCGTCTTCACTGGTGTAGTCAACACCCACCGGCCCATCATTCTTCAGTTCGACTTCCATCATGGCCTGGAAGACTCCATTCTTCACCCGGTCTTCCATGTATGATTCTCGCATTTTATTGTAGAAGTGGTCGTAGACTCTCCGCGCGGTGATGGCATCGGCCGCATCGTGGAAGTCAGGCTTGTTGCCCTTCTTCATCTTGCCATAGAGAGTGAACTGGGAGACTAGGTGGTGTTAGTTTGAGTCCATCAAAGGGAAGGCCAAGGGGTGGACTTACCACAGAGTACCTCGCCCTCAATTTCCTGCACGTTCTTCTTCCACTAAAGTTGCCTGTCAGCACCAGGCCGAGAAAGCAGTGCGCGCATCCTTACTTGACTGCCCTTCTCGTCCGGCCAGAACTTGGCCTTGAGGACTTTGTTGACGATATTCTCGGCTTCCTTCTCAGTATCCTCTTTCCCCACCCCAGTCAATACTAACAGTCCCTTGCCAATGGAGGAGATCAACTCTTCGTCTACCGTGACCGAGGCCGACTTGACTCTTTGGATAATCACTAACCAGTTAGCTTGTTGTCACACTGCATTTCCACAACCCACAGCCCACAACCGACACACCTTTCATTGTTTTTGTTGCCTGCTATTCACAGTGTGGTCACAAACTCCGCGGGGAAGTTTGAGGTCAAGCTTGAGCTC